GCCATTGCGTCGCGGGGGCTGTCGGGAGGCTCGGCCAGGCGATCGCCGACTTGCTCGGCGAGCTCGAGCGTGCGGGACGCGATGTCGGAGGAGGGGTCGGTGACGCCCACCAGGAGCAGCGGCAGGAGGTCCAGCACGTACGGCTGGGGGTCGAAGGCGGGCGGGGGGGGGAGGGGCAGACTGCCGGACGGGGCGCCCAGCCAGTGAGCAATGGACGAAAAGAGGAGCTGCAGCGAGAAAGACCATCAAAACGAGGATCAGCATAGAGCTCTTCATTCGTTGGTCTCGAGAGCGATTCGAACGGCAATTTCTACAGCCTCTATTATTGCATGTACGATGTATACGGAGCTCCTGTTGCCCACACTTTGTGGCAAAAGCGCGGCGGCTGACCTGGCGGACTGCGGCGGCCTTGTCGAAGGCAAGGGGCTTGATGCCAGGGGGGAGGACGTCCGTGAGGCTGCCCGCGGGCAAGCCGCCAGTCGCAACCACCCCATCCAGCGCCTGCAGGACGGCAGTCCGGACCTGCGCGAGGCGGCACACGAGAGTATCCAGGCTCAGGCACAATAGAGGAGTTGCCTTGCTGAGTCTTTGCATGATGTCACGGGTCGGACTTCATGGAATCTGTCAGGCAACCTCTAGACTACGAGCTGACCCTTTGAAGCCCGACAAATAAGGTCAAAACGCAACAGAACGTATCGATTCTTCGAGAGGGAACGTCTTGCTTAAGGCGAGCTGACGACCAGCAAAGAAAAGGCTCTCTTTTTTTTGTCCCGACTCGCCGGCTTTCTCAGACTACTGGCTTGTAAAGGCGCCTGAGCTACTAATGACCACCTCCAGCTCTTACCCGTGAGTGTGGATGGGCCACGTTCTGGAGCAGTGCTTTCATCAGCCCCTCCGCGTGAGGTGCCAACGCTCCGGGGCACTGCCGTGCGCCTGCCACGATGCCGCGACAGGCCGCCTTCTTGATCTCGTGGAAAGGATCTTGCAGCACCTGGCTTAGCACCTGCACTCATTGGGTGGCCTCAGCAACTACACCCTCAGCTTGGGCGCTCTGCTTGTAGGAGGCCAGCTACGAACCACAACCCCTTTGGCATGGACATTTGGCACAAGCTCGGAGCCAGAGGGTCCGCTGAGCCTTGAGGGACGCAAGCGAGGGCGACGGTTCGTGTCCTTACTGCTGCTACATCTTGTGCGGCGGCCTGCGAGGGCTGCTGCGTGCACCGGGGCAGCAGGCTGTCCGCCAGCAGGGCCACCAGCTGGAGGCGCACCTCCTCCGACGTCTCCGCCACGGGGCTCACGCCTGCAACGACACCCTGGGCAGCTCAGAAGACGGGGGAAACCTCCTCTGGCTGACGAGGGAAGGTTTGGCAAGAGTAGCACAGGGACGAGGCGTCAGGAGTCGGGCAGAAGCTGTTATTAATCATGAGGGTGTATCACTTTGGCAGCTGGCGGAGCATTGCAATGGAGCTCACCGATGCGGGCTCTGACAGGGGGCATGACCTGGTCCATCACAGTGCCCACCTGCATGGACTACGCGCAGTGAGCAATGCAGCTGTTGTTCAAGATTGAGAAGGCACCAGATTGAGTCCTACGAAAAATAAAAAGCAAGCATACTTCGCTCTGTATGGGGCCCTACAATCAGCTGGGCACCGAAAACGGGACCGAACAGTCCCCCACCAATGCAGAAGTATACCTGAGGTAGCTTGGAGGTGACGGCCTGCATGATCCCCAGGGCCAGCTCACGGCACTTCTCAACAGGGTCACTCAGCAGCTGAAGGAACGGAGGCAGCAGCCCAGAAGCGCACAGGGCCTGCAAGGATACATGTTGTGTCTCAGTGAGGAATAAAAACCTTTGGACAGTTTGCAATGCAAGCATGGCCCTCGAGCAGAGCAGAATACAGCCCCAGCTGCACCACCCTTTTTAAAACATCTTCTGTGCAATGAGATGGTCCATACCTCCAGGTACGGCCCATCAGGTGCCACAGTCCCCGCGCCCGTCGGTGCCAACAGCTTTTTGAAAGTTTCAAGAGCAGCTCGCCGCACAGATCTATCCGGGTCTTGCAAGCGATTGAATTCTCGCTGGTGTGCCTGCAACATACATTAGCTACAGGTTGGACACATACCACCTGAAAGGAATTGCTTGATGCAGCTCAAACATAATCCTTGAGGGAGCCAATCGCTTTTGCAAGCTAGTGGAATGTATTCCAGCAACTAGGCAAGCTTGCGGGCTAATAACAGCTGAAAAGCGAAGGCGTTCGAGGAGATACATGCCAGTGCTTGAGTAGCAGGGTTCCTTTCAACAGTCCGTACTTGCACCACCAAAGCCTACTTTCCAGGGCGTGAAGACAGCGAGTTCAAGAACGTTTGGCAGCGTATTGTGGGCACAATTCTGCGTTTTAGCCAAATTCACCTGAAAGAAAGAGCCAAGTCTCTCTGTGCCATCCAGATTGGTCCCCTGGACCGCCATCACTCCAGAATCGGCGTCGGCATTCAAACCACCTTACAGAACGCTCTGAGCATTAGCTCGTTTGCAGTGCAACTAAGGATCTAACAGATTTAATTCAATCTAGGCAGAGCGCGGCAGGGCGGACGCCCTCGATTGCTGCTCTTTGCAGAGACATTGTGAGCTGGAAAGACATTTTAGATTTCTGCTGCAATCTGCTCAAAAAGGAAGGAAAAAGGACGTCTGTCTCGAGCATTTATCCGACAAACAATATTTAGGGTTTTGGCATTGCTCCCGGCAGCGCAAGCCTGAGGCGCGCCGCCGCGGCCGCGTGTTGGCGCTGCCGTACGGAGCCGGCCGCGCAGCCGGCCAGGTGGCCAGGAAAACTTAGGCAGCTAAACTCCAGAGCTGCCACAATCGGTCCCGGGCAAATGGTTCGATAGACTTTTCCGTCATCGTGCGCCGTCAAATCGTTCATCGCACGGCCGGAGTTCAGTTTAAACCATTACATCGCAAAATTGGACCCGTCGAACGAAACTCATTAAGCTTTGCCTTAGGACTCAGGTGCAAAAAGTGCGCGGCACTGCACTCGGGTATTGTCGTACTGCCCGGCTGAAATATGAAAGTGGTCGGGATTACAAAATTTTAGTGCGGCCGAGTGACCGCGGGACTGCATCCGGTAGGTACTTATCGAAATTTAAAATTCTTCACGGAAGTCGGTGATTTCCGACCCGCCGAAAGGCCTTGTTTCCACTGAACACTGAGTTACACTCACTGAATTAAAGGGCTACAAGCCGCGCACGAGGCCTGTAGCCCCAAATTCGCCGGCGACTCCGACTCTAATCGACCGGGCCTCGCGCGGGAGGCTGTACTACTGTTCTACTAGTAAAGTAGGCTGCGCCGAGGCTGCAGTGGCCAATATCCGGGCCTCCGAAGCGTTACATAGCTGAGACTTCAGACTTGCTGTTCGATAGCCTCTCGTGAGTTGGATTTCCTAGGGTCCGGACCGGTTGTGGCGCGCTCAGCTCAAGGACGAAATGGCTGCATGCATGTATGTTGCTGTTGCTGTTGCACATGTTGCTGTTGCTGGTAGATTATTGCATTCTTGACGCCCAACTTTGATACCTCGTCCTAAGGTGTGTTTCTTCAGAAAGAATTGGGTGTCAAGCCTCTTGAGCTCCATGCACAACTGAACATTCTTGTTCGGCTTCAATCGGCCTTGCCAGGCCTTGAATCAACTAGGTACTATCCTCGGCTTGGGGTGTGCTTCAAGGTTGTGCGGACTAGCGGACTACCTGTACTTGGTTTGGGAATATCCGCTTATCAAGGAGTCGCAGCAAGCAGCTTCAAGATTTGCCAAGATGATTGGTTTCATCGTAGTGGGGTTGGGCATCGCTGCCGCTTTGTACATGCTGCGGCCCAAGGACCCAATCATTAAGGTGGTACAGGTTCACATCAAGGGGTTTAGTGTCCGGACACAAGTCACCCCCATACCTGCGGTTCTTGTCGACCTGGAGGTTTCGATGGATGTCTTGTGCAAGAATCTGAACCCTGTTCCCATCTCCTGCAGTGAGGTGAGTCCAGCCTTATCTTGCTCGTTCTAGGTTCAATGATCTTTCATTTGGATTGACGTGAGGTGCGATCCAAGCCCAACCGACAGGCTTCGTGGACTGCATGAATGACCATCTCTGACCTCCGCTTGAGAATGCTGAGTAATTGGAAAGAAGGTGCAGTGGGCCTGCTCATATTGCCTCGGTCATTTTGCAAGGCCTTGCTGGGACAGAGATGCTTTTGTCGTCAAGTTTGTGATCTATCGCTTCTAGTTGTCATGGGCAGAGATTAAGTCGCAGTAGGTGGCTTCCTTTTGAAGTATTATTGTGCACGTCAGGCAATTGTTGTTTTGGATCTCGCTTCTTCTGACAGTATTCTTTTGCGCAGGCGCTCATGGATATTGTCTACGAGGGACAGAAACTTGGTACTGGAGATGTCCCCTTCAGCGAACAGCCCGGTTGCAGCAGCAGAATCATCACCATCCCAGGGAAGATCAGCAGCATTGCTGGTGAGTTCTCCTCGGTAATATGCTCTGGCGGAGACAAGGTCAGGATAACATGCCCAGGAAAGGCGAACATTCTTTTGAATTGATGCTGGGGTGTCCATTGACAGGGCAGTTCTACTAGGGCAAGACTCTTTCAATTGCAACTATACACCAAAACGGTTTGGCTCTTCAGTGGGCACTTGGTCCCCGTAGTTTCCTTCAACCTGGAGGACGTAGAAGCATTCGCACGGATAGAATCATATGTCGGAACTGCGCGTCTCAGTTTCAAGTTCAAATGTATTCGGCCCTGAAGGGACTCACGGGATGTCCTTTTTCGAGGGAGCTCTTACCCGTACACAACCCAAGGGCTCTGTACTTCAAGCGGGGACTTTAGGTCACTTTACCTGGCGGACTGGCTAGTTCCAACGAGTGCTAGGTCACCCAATGTTTTAGTTTCTTCCCATGTCTTATTGGTTGCTCAACAAGTTGTTTCGATTTCGCAAAGGCAATTACACGGAAGGGTCTCTTGAATGGAAAGAGGAATTTTTAAGGGTGAAGTCTTGTTGCGTCTAGTCTGTAGTAGACAACTTTGACCTCTTTTACAGATACTGATGACCAAATTGTCGCATTGTCTGTCTCAGTCTCATTTGCACATTTACAGGGCAGGCTTCGAAGAAGAGTCTCGCCTCTGCAAATCCCTGAATTGGTGCAATTGCATTCGCAGCTCTGGGCACACTTGGCCCAAAGTTGTTATCGGACATCGCTAAGCGGGAGGTCAAGCTCACGGGAATAGTAACCCTGAAGGGAGTCGCCAAGCTAGGTGCAATCAAGCATCGATTCAACGTAAGCTTCTTGCTTCAGGAGACTGTCTCTCTCTGTTTAAAATATCACTTTGGAATCGTTGAGCATACTACTGTGCCCCTTCGATGCTTTCGTCTCCAAAAAGTCGTTCAGCTGCGTTGCAAAAGTGGTTTTGGTCTGGCCTTCAACTTCAAGATTGCTCGCCCTTCTCTGGATTCTGGAAAATAGTTCGTTCACTGGCGAAAGTCTGTTCTGTTTTCTAGCATGTAGGATGTATTCAAGCAAGCGTTATTTGCGAGGCAAAGCCCTTTTCTGCATAATCGACGACTTTTACTCCTAGTTTCCCCTCACATTGACATCACACATCTTTCATTCCGGCCTTGAAGCTAAAAGTCACAAAACTCTTCTTTTGTGCAGGTAGGGGTCAACTGCGACGTAGTGGTTGACCCGCTCATGGTCGATGTGATCAGGAGCAGTAGTGAATGTGACATGGATCTTTTCCCAACACTGAAGGGCGATGATCAAAATCCGGGAAAGACGGAGTAGACCTTTAATGCTACATTCCTCTGAATATCAAATCGGAACAGTCTGGCATCAGGTAAGTTCGAGTCTATCAGAGTGTCCACAATCTTAGGGTCCCACGTGTAGCATCTCATCGTTTTCAAAATTCAGGGTCTGTACCGGGTATAAGCGCGCGGCAGGCCATTTTTGAAACCTGACACCCTCTTCTGAGCATTGTAAGGGGCGTGCACATTGCATGGGCCGGACACCCTCTTAGACCGTACGACCCATAATCAACATACTGGCGCTGAATCTGTTCTCAACAACTATAGTTGATACTGCTCTCAAACGCTAGTGAGAGCCCCGATCGAGTCCGCCCCAGGCAACCAATTCGTTGGGGGCCTTATATGTACTAACTGATTCATCATGTGAGCTATATATACCATGTTGTCACCGTCACATGTGCTGCACCAACTAAAGAATAGATATATTAGCTTATATACATATATGCGACTGATGTTGCACATTCAGAGACCTCATCGTTACATACTGTGGTACTCTGCACGCAATCGTGTGCCCCTGTCACATGGCAGTGTATGCATATATCAATGCGCGCTCGATCTGATAAATTGATAAAATAAATGCGTTGATCAGTTCCTGCATGGGACATGGCTGCATGCACATGGCGCAGTGAATCATTGGCTGCAGAGCCTGTCATGCTGATCTTCAATTGCTCGGAAACCGTCTAGCAAGCACCGTCACCTTCGTCTTGGAGTTGGTGCACATATAGCGCGCATGGGTAAACATGTTAAGGCGCATGATTTGCGCGGGCACACTATATACGGCTGTGCCTTGCAACTACTTCCGAGTATGTGGCTCATGTGACCGTCAAGAGATCCTGTCTTTTGCTGAGGGCGCTATTTACTATTGTTTCGAGGTCTTTCGTTGCTTTGGCGACGTCTGGCTGATCAAACACTCCCGACACAATGGCTACTCCATCAGGACCTTTTGTATTCGCCTTGGCGGCCGACAGTACTTCAGCTGCATTCGTCGTTTTGATCCCTCCTATGGCAACGACCGGAAGCGGAGTGCTCTCGCAGACCTCGAGCAGACCTTTTATCCCAATCGTTACGTTATTTTCTTTTGTGTTGGTCGGAAAGACGCCCCCTGACCCGAGGTAATCCGCCCCATCTTCAAGTGCCTTTCGCGCCTGCTCTGGCGTCTTGGTAGATATCCCGATGATCCTGTCCGGCCCCAGCAGGGCACGTGCCAGCCTGAGCGGCATGTCCGACTGCCCGATGTGCACCCCGTCGGCCCCCACCGCCAGCGCGACGTCGATCCGATCATTGATCACGAGCGGGACTCCCGCTTCCCGCGCCAGCGCCACCACCTCTTGCGCCTCCTTCACAAAGTCCCCGGTGCCGATGTCCTTCTCCCGCAGCTGCAGAATGGTGGCGCCCCCCTCAATGGCGGCCCGCATCGCCTCCACGTTGCTGCGGCCCCACCGCGCGTTCATGCGCGAGTCGCTGACGGCGTACACCGCCAGGTCGGATGGCCGGAAGCGCGCGCGGGGGGACTCCCGCGAGGTACCCCATGACGTTGTCCCGTAAAAGTGATTCAGCGGGCCTGCAAAACGGGGATACGGGGAAAGCACGCAAAGTCAGCACTTTTCAGATGTCTTCGGTTTGCAAGAAAGTCTAGGTCAGCGGCTGATGCAGCCCGTGCTTTTGAACATTCGAAGCTGCGCCAGGAATGCGGACTCTACTGAGGCACGCACGTCGTGAGAATCTCGATCCTGTGAAAAGCACGAAGAGCAGCAAGATCGTGCGGACAGTTACTTGCAGATCCGCCCAGCAACGTGCCTGATTTGCCGCAAGCTTTGCCGCAGTCCTCACCGTGCTTCCCCTGGCCCAGCTGCAACCAGGCGCTGCTCTTGAGGGCCTCCGTGAGGTACCCCTTGGCCGCGCTCACTGCCGCCACGAGCGGCCGCCCCTTGGCCAGCTCCGCCGCGATGCCCGACGCCAGCGTGCACCCCGTCCCGTGCGTGTTCCGCGTGTCGACCCACCCCGCCTCCAGCTCGTGCAGCCTCTCGCCGTCAAACAACACATCCACCGCCAGTCTTCCCCCTGCCACGTGCCCCCCCTTGACCAGCACGGCCTTGGGCCCCAGCTCGAACAGTGCCGTGGCGGCCCGCTTCATGCCCTCCAGGTCCGTGATGTCTTCTTCCCACCCCAGTAGAGCCTTGGCCTCGGGCAGGTTGGGCGTGATGACGTCAGCGCGCGGCAGGAGCAGCTCTCGCAGCGCCCCGAGCGTGTCCCCGCCCACCAGCACATCCCCGCTGGTCGCCACCATGACGGGGTCCACCACCAGCCGCACCGCGGGCCGCTTCGCCAAGCACTCAACGACCGCGCGGATGATGTCAGCAGACGGCAGCATGCCCGTCTTGACGCAGTCGCACCCGATGTCTGACAGCACCGCCTCGACCTGCGCTCGCACGAAGTCGGCTGGCACGGGGTGGATGCCCTGCACGCCCGCCGTGTTCTGTGCGGTCAGCGCCGTGACGACGGACATGGAGTACACCCCGAGCGCGCCGGCCGTCTTCATGTCCGCCTGAATTCCCGCACCCCCGCCCGAGTCCGACCCCGCTATCGTCAGCATGCGGGGGACTATGGGCGCCTGCCCTGCCGCCTTCTCGACCTGGGCTGAGAGCGTGTACAGAGTGGCGCGCCCGGTCGATGCGGAGGCCAATGCGCGGGAGGGGCTAGCGGAGAAGTTTCCGGCTGGGCTGCCGTTTCCAGTGGGTGGGGGTGTTGGGCGCGTGGCGGGCTGACGACAGACGTCCAGCAGGCGGTCAATCTCTGACCAGGACTGGGCCTGGAGCAGGCGGCCCGTGCCCCTGCGGCTCTCCACTGGGCGGTCCTGATGCTGTGCCAGAAACTCGGGGACGGCCTGGAGGGTGACCCCAAACGCACGGCAGACGCGCTCAGCGCTGGCGCTGCAGCCCAGCAGCACGCCCAGATCTGCGCTGACCAGGGGCAGCAGGTCCGTCACGCTGTCGCCAACGTACACAGTCAGGCCCTGTGACTCGGCGGGCTTCCTCGCACTTGGAGGAGAGGCGCCGGGGGGCGCAGCTGCGGAGGCCAGCCGTTCGAAGCAGGCCTCCTTGTGGAGGGGCGTGTGGATGCCCCCCGAGAGGGCCCCAGTAGAGACCTCGCCCTGCTGTTCCAGCTCGTTGCTCAAAATCTCAGGAGGGGGCGTAACAGCTGCATCAAGGAGGCGATAGCGTTAGAATGCAAATCGAAGGCGTGAAAGGGATAGTCTTCTCGAATTCTGTAGAGGAGTCGGGACCAACAGACAGCAGGCAGGTATGAGGACATGTTTTGAACTTGACCTCCTTCGGATGGATGCGCATCAGTACAGCGATTGAAGCAACTGCCTAGTTAGCCAATCCACCATATTATAGATCGGCTCTTCCCTGAAACACAGAGAAGTGGAGGCAGGAGCTTCTTATGGACCTTGGTGAAGATTTTGCGTGGGGAATTTCGTTGTACCTGGCCAGGCGTCCAGGTGCAGGGCCGCAGAGAGGAGCTCTCGGGAGGGGTTCACGGAGAGGACGGACACAGCGATTTTGTCATGAGCACAGCGGTGCAGCACGCGCAGGCAGCCCTCCTGCAGGGGAACACGCCCCGCCCTGACGGCGTCCGCAATGGCGGGGCGGGAGACGCCTGCCAGCAGCTTGTTGCGCACCAGGTCGTCCATGCTGGCCTGCTCCATGACAGACATGGCCGCCAGGAAGCGCCGCAGGGCAGGCAGGTCAAATGCCTCACGGCGCTGGGGGGCCTGCGAGGAGGCCGCCCACAGTCAGTGCAAGGATAGAGTGAGAGAACCGTGAAGGACAACGATGAGGGATCATGTCGCAGGAGCTGTATTCTTTAAAAGCATACCAAGCAGTACAACTGGTTGTAGCTCTGGCTAGATTGCGCACCAGAACTTGTTTCCTTTAGTCCACTGCATCATCTTCAGACAGGAAATGTTTTTGTTAGAAGCTGTGGGTGAGGTGAACATGGTCTGGCCCCACCTCCTGCAGTGCCAGGGCCATGGCCTTGTCGTACTGCTCCATGTACGCCAGCCCCGCTTCTTTCCAGGCCTGCCGGATCGCCGCCCCTCTCTCAAGATCATTCCGCGCCTCCGCCTCCTCTGCCGCTAGTTCTCCGTACAGGGCAGTGGTGTCACGCTGTGTGCACGTAGAATCAAAGTCCACCACCAGCCTCGAGACACAGCTGCCGCGAGGGCTGCCCATCGGAGCCAGCGGAGCAGTGCGGCCAGAAATGGTGGTAGCACCAGCTGTCGTGCGGGTCAAGGATGCTTGATACCCGGCAGTGACGGGTCTGTCGAGGCCCCTCTCGCGGTTGATGCGGCTGAAGGACAAAGGCCTGTGGGGTCGCCTGGGCACCTGAGGAGAGGGTGGACACTGCAAGGACTTGATGGTGGTTGGTGGTTGCAAACCCCCGACAATCTTTGCAACACTGGGGCTAATAGCAACGAGGAAGAGAACGTGGACAAAACATGGTGGTGGTATATATTGCACCAGAAACCATAACAAAACCCTGTCAGAGGCGTGGAAAGTGATGGGAACATTGCCTCTGCAATGCTGTCCATCGGAGGTCCCCCACAGACCGCTGAGCAATGAGATTCAATTTCAGGGATGGCGGAGATATGCCAGGCTCTGGATTGTGAGATGAATGCATGGCCAGTTGATCAAGCACAGCGCCACTGCAGGCTTGCCGATGCGACCAAGGTCACTCACCGGCCTTATTGATGGTGGCAGCACGGCGCTCCGAGCAGGGGACGCGTGAGCTTTCCCAGGTTTGCTTGATAGATTCCACTGCCACCTGCAGCTTCCAACAACTCTGGACCGAATTAGTGAAGCCGCAAGCGGAGAACCCATTGCAGCTCCCACATCCGAGACGTCTCCAGTCCAGCCAGATGTTGCGACCGATAAGTTGCTGGCACCACCTCTGATGATTTTATAAGGTCATTGCTCCCATTGCCGATCAATTGCATGAGAATGAACCAAGAAGGGTGCACCGTGCAGCATCAGCAGCGCCACATTTCAGCGATCAGCTGGCCATAGGTCATATAGGTACATGGCATGCAGTCCTGAACACGAAGGGAAGGGTTGAGCTTTAACCTTCTAAGTGATTTCGCATTTCTTTATTAACCGTCGTGGCCTCGAAGTGAGTACCGTAACCCACCTCTGTTGACCCACCGTATACCCCACGTCTGTCGGGTTACGTAAAGCTCGGGTTAGCAGCTACCGGCCCAGGTCAGGTTAAAGTCGTGTTGCAAAAGAAACATCTAACCAAGATTCTGGAATCTCCGTTGTCCAATCAATGCAATGCAATGCACTGCCCTTTGCTTTGCCCTGGAGGCTGGGGCCGGGCCTCTGCTTTGCCGTTTGCTTTTTGGCATTGCGCAGCAGCTTGAACCTCTTTGGATCAGACTGAGAAGTTCGGGGAGCGTCCTTGACGAGTCCTTTATGGGCCGTTTGCCGCAGCTAGGCAACAGGGCTGCTGAGGTTTCGGAGGGGTGCTTTGAAGGTTGCATGCATGAAGAGTACGAGGCGGGAGGTTCAGTAAGGAGTTGATTGCAGCTAAGCGGCTGAACTGCCTTTCTCCCGAAGATGGTGGAGCCACGTGGGCAGCTCCAGTTGACGTTGGCGAGTCTTTCCTCCAACATGCATGACGCCCTGCTACAGCTGACCTCCAATGACGATTCCGACAAGAATGACAATGCGGAGTCTGCATTGGCCCCATTCGAGCATCCCCAGCTCCCACTGTTTCTCCATAAGCTGGACAAGCTGAAAGCGCAACTAAACAAGACGTGTGATGGTTGGAGGAGTAGATGTGTTGAACTGCAAACGCAGGCTGGGAGGCAGATGCAGCACTTTCAACGCAGCCTACAAGCAACCGCCCAAAGACTCCCACACCAATTTAAGCGTCCTCCCGGCCAAAGTCCTCGCAGGAGAAAGGCGAATCGAGGTTTGCACTTAGTCAGTGCGGTCGGCAATCCTGCACGTGCAAAGGTTGGGGCAAGCAGCAGCGCATCCGGTGTGGGGGCCAGCAAGAATGCACTTGCGGGGGGCCTGGCCGGGGGCTTGGTCGCCTTGTCTCTGTATCCGGTGGACACCATCAAGACCCTGGTACAGGCAGAGACAGGGGCTGGCCAGCGGTCAATTCCCCGCATCTTCCAGAAGCTGGTGGAGAAACATGGTGAGGGCAGCCCAGAGTGGTAGAATTGAACCAGTCTCCTACTTCTCTCTCAAGTCTAACTGGCCCCTCTGGTGGCAAGTGGGGATCTATATCTCTTTGAACAGCTTGAAAGCTTCAGTTCGAGAGTCAGTGCACATTCATCTTCACTTTGGAATGTGAACAAAGTGCTCTGCAGCGACGGAACCACACAACCAATTGTAAGCAGTATTTGAAGTTCAAGGTACAATTGGAATGTGTGGCTGGATTGAGATCCTGCTTGCGAATGCCGATGAGGCACACGATGCTCACACTCCATGCCTCGCCAGGGATGTTTGGGCTGTATCGAGGATTGGGCAGCAACCTAGTGACGGCCACCCCGATCTCTGCCATCTATGCCAGCACGTACGAGGCCGTGAAAGAGGTGCTGCTGCCCCACCTGCCACCGGTGAGGGACTCGCTGCGCCCTTCGATATGTAAGCTTGCCCCTGTGCATCTGCGGGCAGTGTTTATAGTAACTTTGTGGATTTGTAATGCACAACAACATGCTTTAATCTGTTGGTGGTAGATAGTGCCTGTGGCCATGGGACATTCTCTAGGAGAGGTTTACATTGCAAAGGACTTGTGGCTGTGCAGAAGTTCCAGTCGGTGGCCCACTGTAGCGCGGGGGCAGCCGCCAGCGTGGCCACCTCGTTTGTGTTTACCCCCAGCGAGGTGGTCAAGCAGCGCATGCAGTACACCAGCCAGTACGCCAACAGCTGGTCAGCCCCAGCCCTGCCTCGCTGCCTGCCTTCCTCGCCTGTTCGGAAATGATGTTGCAGAGTATCGTCCTCTGGAAGGATAACACCTCTCACATCTCTCTAACCATTTGTTTAATATGGAGAGTGATCTTTGTCTCAACTGCTTCTCAGTTTCTCCAACGTAGTGTTGACCTGTTGAAGTTTGAGGCCAAGATCGCTGTTCTGGCTGCGTTCAGGTCGGCTTTCTTGGGCATTCTGCGAACAGAGGGGATCACCTCGCTGTACAACGGGTGGGGAGCTGTGCTCGCCAGAAACATTCCGAACTCCATTATCAAGGTTGGCTTCCAAAATGGGAGCAGCTCCTCCTGCCTTGACCTGATTGACCTGTTGACTTGATGGCCTGATCAAATGGATGCTTAGGCGCATGTTTGGTGGCTAGTGTAGCTTCCAGGAGTAAGATTCTGCTTTCACGAGTCGAAGAGAATCCTTTGGTGGATATTCGGCTCATGATCAGTGTATCCCATCACTCAAGAGTCAATGGGTCACAGCGCTCTGTGAGCTAGTCAAAGAAGCGAGTCGACTTTCCATGCATCGCTTTTGTCAGAAGTCGAGGGGAGTTTTGCGCTTCGTTAAGATTTCAGCACGTTTCGATGTTGTTGCAAGGGGTTATCGCAGGCAGACCTCTAGTTGGTAACGAGCACAAACCAGAATGCGCCACAGCTTATTGTACCCGCTACTGAATGTTATGCGCTTGGTTACAAGAGCAGTGTGCTCTTCGTAGCGACGCCTCAGGTCCCGTGAGGAAAGCCATTCATCAATGTCTAACAGTCGCTCGTTGTTGGTTGTGCAGTTCTACACGTACGAGAGTCTCAAGAAGCTGGCTCTGGACAGGCGGCCCGGAGCCACCCGGCTCACGCAACTAGAGTCGGTGAGCCTCTCACTGGTGCCCCTCACTGAGCCGTCACTCCGTTCGCGGTCTAGCTTCAGGGCCCATTCGGGGCCAGCTGTGAAGAGTAAGGCAGTAGTGCAGTTGCCACGCAACGATAGAACCGCTCCGTGCTTTGAATCCCGACTGTGAGCAATGGCGGCTTAGGATGTCGAGCTCACACAAGCTGGAAAACTGACGCTTCTTGTCCGGTTTCGCAGCTCGTGATTGGCGGCGTGTCCGGCGTCTCGGCGGCCTTCTGCACTACACCCTTCGACGTGGTCAAGACCAGGCTGCAGAACCAGGTACTGCGGTCCTGGAATTTGCCATTCCTCCTGAGAAACGCCGGCCATCTCTTCGTCTCGTCTCCGCACTGCCTCCACTGTCGCCCTTTTTACTTTTGCCAAATGTTTATGCGCACAAAGGACTCAACAGGGGCAGGATGGCCCGCACTTGACCGCGTCGCATGACCGGTGCAGATGCCGGGCCAGACGATCCAGTACGGCGGGGTCACGGAGTGCTTAAGAAAGATTGTCGCGGAAGAAGGCGTGGCCGGCCTGTACCGGTGAGGGCACATCCGTCCGCTGATGTCCTCGAGGTCCAAGAAGTCGCTGGCAGGGCTCGCCGAGCCGTTTCTTGCAACGCTCCCCTCAACCTCTCGTTGCACCACTCTGAAATAGGTGTGGGTACAGTGTTTAGAGCGCTCTGCGTCCTCTATCTGCAATGACAGGCTGAATGCGAAGAAGCCCCCGAGTATTCTCACGCCGTGCAGTCTCGTCGGGGCTTCTTGCCGTCAGATCTATAGATATGGAGGCAGCGTCGCAGAAGTGATGGTTTCCATGTTCGCCGCAGGGGAGTCGGGCCGCGCCTCTTCATCTACGTTTCTCAGGGGGCCATCTTCTTTGCATCGTACGAAGTGCTCAAACGCGTGCTGCAAGACGAGTGGCGCATTGCGCCAAGAGAAGGGGGCACAATCGGATACAAGGAATCCGCGCCCGCCCCGTTGCAGAAGGCGGCCAAGATAGGATAGCTGTTTCACGGGGAGCCCGATTGCGACATGATGTAACGATGTGTGTTTGGACGTCGAATTTCATGTTGTGCATGTCAACCAACGCATACTGTCTGATGGAAGAGCACCTGGTTCTTGACTGGTCCAATCTTCCGGGAAACGTTTCAAAGCACGCGCGTCTTGGGAAAGGCACCGCTGTTTTGCTTCGAAATGCGGCTTTGCTTTTCTGAATTCGATGGAGTACATCAAGAACTGAACTAGGGAAGTTGAGATTTCCGAGGAGAGTACAACCCGCTCACGAACGTCCTCTACAGGTGATAGGCATTCAATGAAGCAGCTTGCTAGGGTAAAAACTTCAACTACGCACATCTAAATCGGTCGCATGAAGGTCCAATATCAGCAGGTCCAATATCATAATAGAATCAGAGCGCGCGGCCGAACAATCACACACATGCGACATGGCCCGTGCATGTTTGTCATTCAAAATGTTGCCAACTGCAGCAACGAAGGATCGAAGACTATCCATTACGAGATTATATTATAAAAGACTATCAATAAAGGTAACCTGGCAATCAAAACGAGTCACTGAATGTTGTGCAAGAGATGAGAGCGACCAGAGGTCTCGTGCTGCAGTCGCCTGGATAGCACGACTTCGGACACCTCAGGCTCAGCACTATATTTGCCATTTGGGCCTGGTATGTGGCCGCATGCTCAACGCGGTACTACGTTCGACGTCGTCTTCTTCCCGCTCTCGTTAGCCCTTGTCTGGCGAGTGTCAAGCTTTACCGCCTGCTCATTACCGTGTCGAATCGGAGAGCGACAGCTGTGCAGAGCTAAAGTAGCTAGAGCCTCTGTGAGTTCTTAAAATTCTACATTCAAAGCTAGAACCAGTGGGTGGAGGCGTGCCTCTCAAATCCTCAGCTATGGGTACACCAATCTTGTCATTCTTGTCACGTTAGAGTCAGACCATCCTTCAAGATCAGGAGAGCTATCACCTCTAAGGATCGTTGCATCATTGCTTCCCTCGTTTGCATCTATTAGAGAATTTGTTTGACCGCTTATAGTTGGCAAGGGTTAGTGAGTGCTAAGCAGGCCAGCTTTCTCACCCGGTAGTTCTGGGCACTACTCTGGGTGCTCCTCATGAGCTGAGCGGGGCGAAGGCGCCTGCGAGGCGATGTAACTGTTTGGGAGGAAGGGCAGCCTTCTTCCACCTGGTTCAGCAAGGATGGTGTTCTTTTTCAAAGCCCGGCCGTCGGTTGGGGACATCATGATATACATGGGGCTGGACAAGTACGAGAATGAGGACCTGATCAAGTACGGCCTGCCGGAGGACGTCTGGTGAGACATTGACTTGATTGTGGGATGCTCGATGTGTGGTGGTTGTGGCAAGAACCAGTGTGACCTGATGTATGTTGCAAGTGCAACTTCAGGACCATGCTCCTTGTGGTCGGCAAATTACAAAGCCTTCAAGAAACGTATGTTCGTTTGAAACTGGCAAATTTGTTAAAGCTGGAGGGCTTGCCGGGGCGCCGTTTAAAAAGTAAGTGGCGTCGTGCGGATTGTTGTGTGCAATGCTGGCACGCTATGTGTGTCAACTCACGCTTGCTGTGGTTGTGTACAGGTTCCACGTGGACAAGATGTCGTCGGCGCACGTGTACTGCCGCCTGGCCAAGCACCAGTCCATTGAGAGCATGTCGGAGGAGCTGCTGGAGGACTGCGCCCAGCTGGTCAAGGCCAACTCCATCCAAGGTACACCACCTGCCGCAGCCCCCAGCGGGACCTGCAATGCAACCTTCTCTTTTGAGACTTCTTGTGTTCTGTCTCACGCAAGTCTGCCATGTTGAGGTGGCCACTTGCTTGCCCCTCCGTGTGGCTACAGGCTGGGGCTGTGGTGGGCTTATGTTGCCGACCACCAGACCTTACAAATCTGAGAAGGTTGTGTCAATAAAAACGAGCCTGTGTCAGACCTTGAGGTGAACACCTCATTATTGTGCGCAGTGCATGGCTCAGAAACGAAACACCTCGCCTGGAGCTACTGACTCGAAAACGGTCGTTTATGTGCGATCATCTCTCTGGATGTGAGAGCGACCCCTTGGGTATGCAGGAGGGTCCATCCTAACGGTGTGTTGCCGATGTTGCCGATGTGCTTATGCCATCTTAAGTTTCGGAGACCTCTAAGATCTGAGAAAGTCAAAGCTCGCCCAAGTGTCTTGAAGGAACTCCAATGCTGTATTAGTGTTATTCTTGAAACGTACGGAAGTCTCAAATCCTGTTGGTGTGTTCCTTCTTGCTGGAATATGCTCTGACATTTTATCAATGTGAAATGCTGGCAAGCTTTGAAATTTCCTCATGGTCGTTGGCAGACTCGGGTGAGGTTTGAAGTCTATTCTTTTGAGCTGGCCATGTCCGCTGGCCAGGTCGCCAGTGCCAAAACGCGCAGATCAATGATTGACGTTTTGCTAGAGGGACTCCCGCCCACTGGGGGCCAGCATCCTAAGCATGCGCTCCCTGCTCTTGTCTGCTCCTACAAGACTGGAATTACTCTTACTGCCACTCCCAATTCAGGAGCCTCATTCAGCAAAGTATGGAATGTGCGAGACTGGTCATCTGCCGAGGGGAAACGGTGTCAGAGGCCAATTGAAGCCCGTCATCATTGATGGGACCTGTTGGATCGAAGCCGCCATATGACTCGTGTGTGCTTTGGATTGGCGCGGCCCATTGTTGCCCTGTGCCTCCCTCGAGCGGTCCCCTGAGCGGTGTGTGCGGTGCGTGCAGGCAACAAGGTGAACAACGTGGACGTGGTGTACACGCCGTGGGCCAACCTGAAGAAGACCCCCGGCATGGACGTCGGCCAGGTCGGCTTCCACAGCGGCAAGGCGGTGAGGCCCGCACTGCGCCAAGCGCTCAAGCTCAACCGTTCTTGATATCAGGTTTTGGGTCCGCGTATTTTCGTCACTGTTTCAGGGTTGTGTAATTTTGTCACTGAGTAACAAGGTCGGGCCGTTGGCTGCCTGTCGAGCTTACTCTGTTGCAGTAGCCGCGGTTTGGTTGTCTCCTCCAGTGAAGCCCACAACCAGATTGCTCGCTCAACTCCTGCGCCCTGCTCGTTGCAGGTCAAGACCGTCCGGGTGGAGAAGCGGCTCAACGAGGTGGTGAACCGACTGAACAAGACGAGGGTCGAGAGGAAGGTGGACCTCAAAGGTAATCGTTCATGCGATTTGCTCCGCTGATCGCGAGATCAGAGCGATCAGCAGAGATATTTGATCCATGGTCCTTCGAAATCGACTCCGACTCTGGCAAGTCCCGAAGCCGCATCCGAGCCTGTCCCCGCAACATAATTCTTCATCAGCGCGGTGTGGCCGTTAGATGCTATTTCTGCTCTGCTTGGCTGGCCCCGGGTGCTCATCGGTGCCAGTGGCTGTGTGCAGCGGAGCGCGAAGCGTACGATGCCGCGGAGAGGGCGGTCAGGAAACAGCAGGCCAAGGAAAAGGTGCGTCAGGCGCCATGGGCTGGTCTTTTATTCTGGATTGATGACGTGTCCGGTGTATCTGCAAAATTCAAAGATCCGTGCCGAATGTAGCGCTGGCTCATACGGTTCTTGTCGTCTCAGCGGTCTCTCTCGGTAGGCCCGAGGGTGTAACAGCAGGCCGTGACGTAGACGGGGCGCACGTGCTAAGTGGATGGCGCGCACCTGCAGATGAAGCGCGAGCTGGAGGCCAAGGCGCAGAACGAGCGGGACAAGGAGCTGCAGAGCTACAAGGGGCTGATGGACAAGAGCACCAAGATGGTGTCCAACAAGGACATCGACCTCAAGGGCAAGTCCGTGCGCGAGATCGAAGAGGACTTCATGTAGCCGTGCACCAGGGTAGCTCGTCGGCTGTTGTCGCTTAGGCGGATGAGGGATGGATTGATTCACCTGATGCATTATGCAGCCTGTGGATCCGAGGCAGGTAGCTTTTTGTTAAGCTGCCGAGAGAAATGCCCAAGTAAATTGAAGGTACCGGGTTTTCCAACGCCTGTACCCCGACATGCAACGTGAATTGGGACTCGATCAAGAGCTCGCACAATGATGTCAACTTGATTACATCCACAGCACCGTGACAAGGACACTAGTATGCCAAAGAGAATTCTCACTGGCAGTGCGACCATTAATGGTCGCATGGGCTACCTGGAGTGATACATGTAGAGGACCTTCAAGCCGAAGTACGGAGGAAGGTATCCTCAGTCCGAAGCGAAGGAAGACCTGCGTATTCTGTCCCGTCCTCAATGGCTGATTGAGGCTAAGGGGTTCATATGATGAATTTTCATTTCTCCCGGTAGTTACGCCATGATGAGGTAGCATGTCATCTGAGTCATGTTGCTTTGTCGCTGGTAATCGCTTGGTAACTAGAATAGAAACTTTTCCGATGAAGCCCGAACTCCGAAATATTGCTTGTTTCTGCGCCACATGGGCGCCCAGGTGCCTAAGCGTGTACAAATAGAAGTGACCATGCAAAGTGGAAGTTGACCATCGACGATTAATTTGGACGTGAACTAGTCGGATCACATAAATGTGCGTTAACAAGAATCGACACTTTGATTGATTTGCATGCCATCTAGCTAGTAAGACATTGGACATGACTTGCAGCCGTAGCAAGCTGCAGAGTCAACTCATTGTACCGTCCCGGTCTCACCGGCAGACTTTGCCTGATGGCTCTATGTGGCTCAGGGCGTTAATAAACCGTAAGTTACCATTGATGCTAATATATAAGCAGAAAGATTGGTATGTCTTATTTAGTTATGATATTGTATGCCAAGGGCCCCACATGCTTGGCTTGGTATCGTTGTTCATGTTAGTGACTCGCAGCATGTCGCAATTTCCAGGTCGGGACTCGGGGTATACCGCGTTACACAATCCGCAGTGATTGCTTTGCTTGCAGCACAGTACGTGCTTGCAGCTCGACGTCAGCAAGTTCCGTGAGTTGTCAGGGATACATGAACAAAAGTGTTGTTCGAATTTAAAACCAAATGTTTTCCGTCTTTTCCAGCATCCACTCTCTCACACCACAGCGTCAATTCAGGACGTGCGTTCAAGTTTGACTCAGGAAGGTAGGCTATCACCAAACTTCGGCGTTTCGAAAATTCAGTTGGTGGAATCGCTTCAATTAGCGTCCACACACGTGCAGGCTTCAAATCCTGTATAACTATCATCAAAAATATTGCTCCACTTACCAAGAGGTGTCAAACCGTAAACGACCCGTGACATCGACCATGACGACATGACCAACGAGTACCTTGACTTCAGTTCTCGTATCACTACCGCACCATTAAACTTCCAACTAACTACAAATTTGGTTGTTTCCGAGTCCCATATCTTAGCAGACTGCGGCTTAATTGCACGTGCACAGGCAGTCTGCCGTGGCTCTGCTCCGGAACCCGCAGCGCCTCTGCGCCTAGAAGCCGCGCACCTGGGCGCACATGGTGCTCATGGTGTCGGGCGTCACGGTGGAGTCCGAGGACGAGAGGCCCAGCGCGTCGTGCATCGCGAAGTAGACGCGAGTGTTGTCCTGCAGCACCGCACAGCCCAGTCAGCGACGCTCTCAGACGTACTCCGACTCAAACGGGAGGGATGCTAAGTGTGAACGCCAGCGAAGCGTGACTCCTTAAGCTGTAGTATGTGGGGGCGAGATCAAAGAACCGGTCTCGGGAGCCCAAAATAACGGCAAAGCTTTAGAAATCACGACCACGACAAGCATCAGGAAGCCAGGCCGGAAAACACCCAAGAGGACCGACCGCTTTTTGTGCTGAAGGCCGACTTCCCGCTTGAAAGGCATGGAAGTAACTCACCTGCACTCTAGCCAATGCGATCGAGCCCGGGCCTGCGAGGGAAAGGCGTACAAAGTGTGAGTACTGGCGTCCGTGATGCAACAGCTGTGTTAGCACAGTATGCCACCGCCGGTTGGCAAGGAGAAGCGCAGAGGTTCTTAGACCAGCCTTCGATATCGGGGTTCCATTCCGCCGGGGTGTGTTCGGCCGAGTGCGGCGGCTCACCCTGGGCAAAGACGGGGACGTCGGTGAGGGTGTGCACGCCCTGGCTCTGGGCGGGGTCCAGGTTGCCGTTCTGCGTGATGCCGCCAACGGAGTCCTTGGGGTTGGCCACGTAGTACGTCTGGGGCCGCGACGCGTTGAAGGTCGAAAAGTTGGAGCCGCCGGCCGGCACTGCCGGCGTGCGCACGCCAGACATCTTGACCTGCACCCCAGCCCAGGCTACGTCAGCAGGGCGCGACTCGAGCAGGCGCAGGCGGAGCAGCCGCGCTGCTACTAAATGGTGAGACTGGTAAAGCAGCCACGCCGCAACCGATTAGTGAGCCTGGTAAGGATAAGACTCATAGCATGTATCCATCGCAACAATATTCTCGTGCATCTGATGGTCAGGGGCAACACCAGAACGACGATACATGAGGCAGCCTCTGGCCTTGACCAGAGCAGAGAAAGCGCAAGGCAACCTGCAGCTAAGGAGTAAGTCTGACCTGGAAGTTCTCGTTGAAAGGGGGGAAGTCCGCCACTCCCTGAGCCAGGGTGTAGCGAGGGGCCCACGTGTCGGGGAAGTTGTCCACCTACAAGACAGAGCAGGAGTCCGTCAGTGGGCCGCCCCTCGAGATCCCGGTCCACGAGACTTATTCACTCCTCAAGGTTACTATAAGCTAACCCACTTCGTCTTTCTTGCTTGAGAAAGGGTAGGAGCCATCGCCTCTTCTAAACCCAACGATCCGCTAATCGCTGGGGGCCACCGCTTTCCAACCGACATACAGCGTTCCATTAACGACTTTCTGAACGTTCGCTTGTTTACCAAGCTGAAAGGAAAAGCAAAGGTCGTCTCGATGCATCGAAGGGTTTTCGCTGATAAGAACTGCTGGCAGGCTGAGCGCTACAACAGGTGGGCGGCCTTACATCCTCGTTGGTGTATCCCGGGTACCCCGCCGCCTGGTACACGCCGATGGCCTTGCGCTTCTCCGCATCGCTTGCGTTGGCCGTCACCGCGGCGTTGAAAACTGCAACGATGCACGAAGAAGACGACGTTCCACGGTTAGGAAGGCTTGAAATCTGGACGCATGCCCTGTACCGTGGTGCAAACAGTAGGGGATGGTAAGAAACGTAGACCCGACTCAACCAGTTCAGCTACGCTATGAATGAATTAGCGGCTGCACCCATAAGCAGGGCTGCCGGCTGTGGCGGAAGAGTGTGCCAGCTGGCAGGCGGCCGGGGCGGTGGTGCGCGCCTCACCCTGAGTGTCAACGGTACCCCACACGTCGTAGGCGTGCCCGTGGTCCGCGGTGGCGATGATGAGCGTGTCGTTGCCGCGCGCCGCGTTCCAGGCCAGAGCGTACCCAACAGCCTCGTCGAACTCAATCAGCTCGCCGAGCATGCGCTCCTACATGCACCACGACTAGAGATGAGCAAGCAACGTCGCTCTTGAGAGTCTTGTTAATTGAAGTGGTTGCTGCCTGTGAAGCAACGGACAACTTTTGTGGTCACACAACGTGTAGCTCAAAGACTTTGTGGCATACGATCACCCACCCCACGTCCTCCCCTCCGCCACCCCGTGTCCCTCCTTCCTTCCTCCCCCCCTTCCCCGTCCCCCTCGACATCTTGCAACACGTGCGAGCGAGCTCGAGCGGCACTGCCTCACCCAGTCGAGGGCGTGCGCCATCTTGTCAACGGAGGCAGCCTCAACCATGAGGTAGAAGCCGTTGGGGTTCTTGGAGAGGACCGACAGCGACACATTCACCATGTCCACCAGGCCGGGCTGGTCCGTGGCTGCGCGGCCGGACCCATCGGGGTACTCCTTCTGGGCAGCGATGTTCTGGGGGTACACGTTGCGGTCCACTGCACACACGCACAGAATAGAACGGCCTGAGCAATCGGGACTGCTGATTCGAGGGAGTGCAAAAGGGAAAGATATACAGACCAAGGCAAAGCACAGCGTGCGGCCATCGAGCTGTTCCATGTCCCCTGATTTCACCGATGCTTGGGGGAATGGGATAAGCGGTGCCCGAGACGGTTGCCAGGCTAGTAGGTGCCGACTCACGCCACTTGTCCATGTTGCCCTCGTGGAAGATGCCCAGCACCTTGGAGGCGCCCCCGGCGGCGGCCGCATACATGGCCGTCTTGTTGAGCGCAACGCTGTAGCCCTGCCCCGCGGCAACGCCGTAGTAGTCCTGTGAATTGAGCGACTTGGGCGCGTGGAAGTAGGCGCCGCCGCCGCCCATGATGACCTCCATGTTGAGGCCCTTGCCGGACACCACGCTGAAGGCGCCGTTGCTGACGTTGGTCCCGAAGAACATCTGGTCCGTGATGAAGTTCTTGTCGTCACGGCGCCGCGTGCTGCGAGCAAGCGCGGCAGGCCCCATCAGCAGGCCGTCTGGTTACTAGATTCCCGGATTGGAACACGAGTTCCAATCAAAAGGATATGTTTCATAGTTTCATCTTTGAGAAAGCCCCTTTCATAAGTAGGGCTGTGCACCTGCCTCGAACACTCACGAATAGTGATGCAAAGAGTGTGCAGCGCCAGCTTACTGAGCGAAGACGGCGGCAGGGGTGGCATCCTGGATCTCAGCGGTGGAAACGACACCAACCGCCATCCCGCGGCGACGCTTGGCCTGCAATAGCACGCAATGAGTGAGAAAGATGAAGGGCATGGTGAAATGAGGATTTATTTGCACAAGCCAAGACACAGACAGACGCAAGCTTCGAACCCATCTCGACCACAACAAGCAGAAGCGGGTTCATGGCGAAGAGACACTGCAGATGAGCATCGGGGGTGCACCTGCTCCCCAATGGTCTCGATCTTGGCGTGCCCCAGGTTGTTGGAGGTGGTGTCAGCATACACCTGAAATGCAGCGAGCAAAGGGGAGAGGTCACTTGGGGCTGCCAGCATTGCCAAAGCCAGTTCTTGGAGAAACGGAACAAACTCAAGAGTATGCAAGACAGGCACAACCCACAGTCGCCAAGCCTTTCTGCCACAGATAAAGTGTTGCTGCCATGATCATCAAGAAGAAAACCGTCCGAGAAGTTTGGCGATCAACACCGGAGCCGAACTTGGGAGGCTTCAACTAGACTCACGTTCAGCGCGTTCACCGCAGACTTGTGCCCAGTGTTGTAGGCCCTGCAAACCAAAGGCGTCAGACTTAGTCTGTTATTAGGCAACGACCGCTATCTTACAGCCCTTCTGAGAGAAACAAAGACCTGCAGTCGGCCCAAGCACGCTTGAATGAGGATGCAGTAAGCCTAAGCGCAGAGCATGGTCTATCTCCCTACACAAACTGGTCTAATCCCCTGCACAAAGTGGTCATAATGGCTATGCAGCTATTCAGCAGAGGCGGCAGCAGCGGGGTGGCTCACGTTGCAGAGTTGGCAGAGTCCGTGATGATGGCATCGTATCCGCTGGTGTGCGCCAGGCCCACGTACGGCATGGTGTCCATGTACATGGGACGACGGAACTTGCCCGCAGCCTGTCCGCGGCTAACCTGCAGCGCACCACGCACAGTGAGGGAGATTTCGAAACCACAGGGGCCACATGAAGGAGCATGACGCAGAAGCTCCCAGCGTCAGGGCCAGCATACACATACTCCTAGGGACTCTCATGACCAGTGGGCCTCCTTCATGATGAACATCAAAGGAGGAGTGAGACCAGCCAGAGTGACACCAAGAGCCTATTAGAGGCCGCAGAAGGGCACAGCCTGTGGTCACATGCAGGCTGATCCTAGCACTGTCCTTACCAGCCTGGCTGCCGTGATCATAGGGACCTGCAAAGAGATGCAACGGCGTCAGAGCGTTGTCACTTTGATTCTTGGGTACTGGCTCCCACTTTGAAAGTCAATGTGCAGGCTGCGGAGGCAGGCCAGAACAGCACAGCTCTTGCGTAGTACACAGCAGATGACGGCCCCCAGCAACCACGCGGCATGGGCTCACCGTCATGCCATCCGCAATGAACAGGATGACGTTGGTGGCTTTGCGGGTAGTGACGGGGCGGATGGTCCAGGACACCTTGGTCACCTGCCCGCCGGCAGTGGTGAGGGTGACCGTGTACGTGCCAGGGTCGGTGATCGTCACGTTGCGCCAGTACTCACCCACCGACTGCACACACCCCGCGAGAGCGTGTTAGCACCAACGGGGGCCAGACAGGGAACCACCAGCAGAGCAGTCAAGGACAGTCTCAGATGCAGCAATGCCTGTGTCAGGGGGCAAGGGGCTTTGCCCTCACGTTGTTCCTGACGGTGGCGCCTGAGTAGTCGGACACATAGGTGTAGGTGTAGGGGCTGGAGCTGGTGTTGGTTACACCAAAGTAGGAGTCCAGGCTCTGGGGGGTGCCCGCCGCCCCATTCTGAATGGTCACGGTGTGGGCCGTGCTGCCGTTCATGGCGCTGTGCACCTCCACGCGGATGTCAAACAGAGCACCCGACGAGAACTCTGCACAGTGGGACCCAGGGGTCAGGCAACAAAACATCTGGCTAAAGCTGGTGTACCTGATGCGCATCTTGCTGTGCTGCAGCAACTGGGACTTTGGTTGTTTACAATCAGCTCTGCAAGTAAGGGGGGGGCTTGCAATTTCAGGTGGATTATCGATTGTGTAAGTGGGTTCTTGCTCTTCAGCTTCTTGAGCTCTGTAAGAGCCAACACCACAATGATGAAGCTTCCCCATGCCACCGAATGTTACTCGTCATGTGGTCACTCACACAGAGGAGACACTGGCTAATTTGGAAAGACCCCTTCTTCCCCAACCTTGCCCCCAAATCACCTCGACGCCCCCAAATCACCTCAACGCCCCCAAATCACCTCAACACCCCCAAATCACCTCAACACCCCCAAATCACCTCAACACCCCCAAATCCCCTTGATGATAAGAACCCCCTCTGCCCCTTGACTCTGCTGCTATTGATACTAGCATCAGTCTTGTTCAAAACAATCTGATATGCTGCTCGTAACTTCTACTGACCCCTCCCAGGGTCAACAATTACAGAAATTGCACGTCATCGCAAGTTTACATCTTGCTCAGAATTCAAGACACTGCTTTACAATATGGATAGGTTCAGACCAAGTGCCAAGAGGTGATCACAGTGGTAGTATTCACAGGATTTTTTGGCCCTTAACCAAGGACGGTTCTGGGCAGGTTAAAATCTGGTTATCTGTCCAGTAGCCAGACTTGGGCGTTAAACAGCCTCGGAACAAGGTTGAAGCCCCGGTAAGCTGTCCAATAACCCAACGCCCAAGTCTGGTTACCAGCCTGGTTAGCAGCCAAAACTTCCTGTGATTAATCCTGGCTGCCATGATTCAAGAAACCAGACTGGCAACATACAATCTTCAAGTACCACAACGGGTAAAAGTCAATGCTCCAACAGCATTGCACCAATTCATCAGGACAAGCAGAGAGCAGCTGCCACATCAAGCGCATGCACAAATCCCCAGATGTAACGGATACTGCATCAGTCGAAAGTGTCAGCGTGCTGCTCGCCTGCCAGGTCGGTGGGCCAGATGCAGCCGCCGGACTGCGCATTGCAGCCTGGGTTGTCCAAGTACTGCCCGATGGTGGGAGTGAGGCCCAGGCCATTGGCGGAGGTGACGTTGGTGGTCCCCAGCTGGGCCAGCGCGGGGGGCAGCACAACGGCCAGGAGGCACACAGCGAGGGCGGCGCGCAGAGCCATGGTGCGAGGGAGATGGTCCCTGCAGCGGTCAGATCGTCCTTATCGGAGCTCCCTTACAAGTCACGTCAGCAGGCTCTGTTTGATCCAGATTTCTTGTGCCTTCGTTGTAAGAACGTAAATTTGACATCAAATACCTACTTCCATGGCCCTGGGTCAAGAGAAGAATCTTCTTTCTTCACAAACAGGATTGACGCCTTACTCCAAGCTGAATACCTACACAGCTTGGAGCATCTGTGGGTACCTAGTAGGTACCAATTACATTTTTGTGTGTTTCCCGTATACCTACCTGGCCGGGTGCTTCAGCCTTCAACTACCTAGGTACCTACCTAGGTACGCCTTTCTGGAATCTGCAGCACTGAATAAGCAATGAGCATCCTGATTCCTACCTGCCTTGCCCTGCCATGCAGCAGTCCGACCACCGCCGAATGCGACTGCCGCTAGGTACCTGTAGCGTACATGCAGTAGCTGATACCGGTAGGTACCCTCATGATCATACCTGCCTGCTATACAGCTCCTGAGTCCATCTTGCAAGGTCGAAATCTGGGATCGAAGTGAGTCCGCTCAGGTCCTCCTGTCGTTGCTTCGCCGGGCAGCCAAAATGGACGCAACGTGGGCCCGGAAGCCGTGCAACCGACCGCTCGGACGGGGCAGGGCCCTACGGCACCGGTTGGTCGACATGCACACCGAAGTGTGAACACTACGATGGCGTGAAGTGTTGACATCAGCCTTCGGGAATCTTGGAGCTTTTGAGGGTGGCAGCTGATCTCATCATTGGAATCCAGCTCGTCACTTCCACGAAAAGATTCCTCAGGTAATGATTAGAACTTCGGTGTTCGACGCTTTTGCGGCTGTGGGGAAACTAAACATTCAAGCAATCAGACCCCTGGAAAAGTGCTCCACCACGCGAATCTATATCAGCCAATCACAAGGCCCTGCTTGGGATCATCATAAAGATTCCAAGCAAGCCGCACTTTGCCGTACGCTCGGTACACCTTTACCGACTTCCCATGTGATTCCTAATACATCATGATTTTTGCACGCGCAACTTGAAGGCCCGGTCGTAATCTTGAAAATTAGATTTAAGTTGCATGAAAATAAAGAGGCAGGACTATGATGTATGGGCTCCAACCAACAAATCCTAACCCAGCGATTTACCTACTCGCTCCGAGCCCGTCCACACCCTAACCTACCCGCTAACCCCCCACTGGTTCAAGGCTGGCGCTCATTATTCCCATGACAAAATAAATCTAGTCCGAGCTCCCGGTTTGTGCCTGCTGAGTCAGAGGCCGCCATATGTCCTCCGGCCGGCCTCAACTTCAAGCTAGTCCAGAGTGATTGGCATTTCTGCAGAGCCAGCCGGCCGAGTCTCCGAGTATGGTAGGTACTCGGCTTGGACTACCTATACCGGTACCCAGAAATTAGAATGCTGACTTCCAAATTTTGATCCCTAGACTAGTCTAGACTAGTCACTAGTGCCACAGCCTGTAGGTACCTAGCTCCAGGAAGACCCATTGTAGAATTCGGCCCCCGCATAAGGAGAAAGGATAAGCACAACCAACTGAACCCTGCTGTCAAGAACTTGAAAAGTTGAGCTGCGCCGGACAGCATTGGTTATATGGTCTCCATGTCCACGTCCTCTTGCTTTGATAGATCTGCTTGCGGTAACGACAAGTATTTAACTCTCTAGTTTGTTGTTGCTGTGCACCGGAACGAAGCGTAGGGACGCGCTGAGAGATTGGGCCAGCTTGCTGCGTCTCAATCACCAGCTTGTAATGCAGTGGGCAAACAAGAGGACACAAAAGGATAGTGCATGCGCCGGCAGGCTCTGATTGGACTTACAACCGCTCTGTTTTGGAGGGAACCTACTTTTCGTCGGATTGAAAGCAGGACATCAGGTCCTTGCTCTGCTGATCAAGATGAGTGCTGTAAGCACGCTGGTGGGCCTTGTGCTGTTGTTGGGCACCACAGGTACGATTACTGCCCTTGGATCACCAGGTTTGCTTCGACGATCATCTTCTCAGGTAAACAGTAGTCGAAGTCATTGTCTGAAAACTAGCATCAGTCCTTGGTAAGTACTGCCCAGGCAGAGTTGTTAGGTCTTGGCTTCGTGAGGGCAATCTGGCAGAGTTTCTTTCTTTGAAGCTGACGCAGACATGTCGTCCCGATTGGAATCTGCTGACAGCTTTTGCTGCTTCGCCCCTGCCACCAGTTTGCCCTGCCGAGGCCCAGCTAGCTGCGCCGCATCACCACAGACGGCTGCACCAAGCAGGGGGTAAGTGACTGGTCACTGAACTGCAACGAGGTACCCTGGTCGGGTTGTCCCCTTGCCAAAGCTTGGGTTGGATTCTGTTCTCTGCAGGCCTTAGGACGGAGCCATGTGCAAACCAAATTTCTGAAAGCGCCGGGACTTCTTATATGGCGGGACGACTAGCTTGCATGGGGTAGTGAGGACATGGTTTTGCATGACTTTCAATTTCTGTATGTGCATGTATTCTCCAGGAAACCCCACTAGGAAGGACACTGTGAGAGTCGCTGAAGTGCCGCTGATGCCGCTGCTTACTCTACCACACCCTACTTCTCTGTGCCTGCAGCGGCGCCCGCCCCCGTGGGCCAGGTGTGCTCCAACGGCCTGGTGTGTCCGGAGCACCAGCGCTGCGACACCACGCTGCTGTCCGGCAACGACGGCACCCAGGCGGTCATCCAGTGCCTCTGCGTGACCGGCTACAACGGCTCCGAATGCCCCAAGCCCTTCACGGTGCCCCCAGCCCCCACCGATGGCCCCGTTGCACCGTTGCGGCCAGCTGCAGGTTGGTATGCTTACTGCTGAGACAGCACGGTTCGGAGTCACTTCTGCCAGCTGTTTACCGTGTTCTTCGTACAGATGGCTTCAAAGATGCCTCCGGAAGCTCAGACTGTGAGCCAACGTACCGCCTAGATTGCGAGAAGGCGCATTCTGATATTTTGCGTGAAGTGAAACCTTGTGGTTGAGGTCCTGACTATGTTGTTATTGACAGCTTATGGCAATGTTATCTATCATCAGGATGGTTCGACTCGAAATAGCTCGGAAAGCAATCTTTGCAAAGCGGTTCGCATTATCTCGAACTTGAGGCGTCTTTGCTCTTCGTTCGTGGTTGAAGGAGTGAGACAGATTACCGGGAGCTCCTTCTTACCAGGTTGTGTCGGTGGGATCAAGTGCCCAATGTTGCGCTGGTTGTCCATGTAGGGTGATGTAGGTAGCATCGGGTGGAGTTCAACGAGCAGATACTCCGGAGGAAACTCGTTACGGTACTTTGTGGTTCTCCAGAGCATGGACATGTGCGTCGTGAAATTTCCATTCCGATATTTTATTGTGCAACACTGCCACACACCGCATCAAATCAGCCATTTATGTAGAGCTGTTGAGGAAGCCTATATTCCTGGCCGCAATCTTCTTACTATCTTGGGTTAAACTCTGGTCTGGCAGTGTACCTCCCTCTGTTTTTTCTCTCCCCACGCACGACCTTACCCCACCCCCCCTCCCGCATGCCTGCAGTGGCGCCCGCGCCCGTGGGCCAGGTGTGCTCCAACGGCCTGGTGTGTCCGGAGCGCCAGCGCTGCGACACCACGCTGCTGTCCGGCAACGACGGCACCCAGGCGGTCATCCAGTGCCTCTGCGTGACCGGCTACAACGGGCCCGAGTGCCCCAAGCCGTACACGGTGCCCCCACCGCCGACCACTGCCCCAGTAGCGCCCGCTCCACCAACAAGTAAGCTGCGGTTGGGGCTTGGACGAGCAGTATCGAATGGATTTGCCGAAATGTGGGCGTCAACGCTCGGGCTTGCACTACTCAGCCTGCCACCGTCAGGCTGACGACTGCATCCCAGGAACGAGCCTTGCCACTGCTAACAAATCCGCCCTTGACGTGCTTGCGTACCCCTGTGGTAGGTACTGCCAGCAGCGCCGCCGCGGCAGCTGCCACGGTGGCCTCGCCGGGGTCCTCGTCATCCGCGCCTAAGGGGGGCTCCAGCGGACTAGGGGTGAGGGATGCCCGCTTCGTTTCCCCTCTGTAATGAGTCTGCCCATTTTGGCCCCCACAAGTTGCGGATAAGACACGGACGTATTAAGGTGGAGACGGTCTGGGGTGTCCAACCGGTTGAAAGAGAAGTTGGACCAAGACATGTTTCTATGCGGGGCCGTGCCTCTGTTTCGTCCTTCCTGCCCGAAGACGTGCTTGAACACTGTGAACGTGGTGCATTTCCGCCCAGTCTTGAATGTCATTAACTCTACGAGACTTCTTGTCATGAGCTGCTCTTTCCAGGATGTGCAGCATAGAAGAGGTCATTTGCACCTCTGCGCGTCCCTAATAGGTGGAAGGCCACACCACTTCGGGGTTTGAAAGCGTACATAGGGGGAGATTACTTCTGTTTTTGGACCTTGCAATCCCCGCTTTAGCTCGTGGGGCGTGAGGGTCAAGACTTTCTTAGATTGGAACTTTTTCAGGGACTTTGCACTAGACTTGTGATGCGCGGCAACTCTTAACCAGATCAATCTCGGGCCCGTGCTATCATGAGAGACCGCAGCATGCAGCGCGGTTGACTCTTGGCAGACTTCTGGGTTGGGCTGCGGTCAGCGTTGTGCCTGGTCGGCCCGGCACCGCCAGCAGGCTGCCTCCCGCAGCTGGGCCTTAGTGGCTGTCCCTCCGGCTGTGCCAGCGCGGACCTGGCAGCCCCCAGTACCTCTGCTCGGACACGGCCAGTTTTGATGCCCTCGTCGAAACAGGATGCGCTTTGCCAGGCCGCTTCGGGAAAGTATCGCCCTCGTGACCTCGAGATGATGAGTCCGTTGGAGATGGGAAAGATTCACCGCCCGTCGAGGCTACGCTCGTAAACTCGTGCTTGCTGTAGGCTTCTCCCCTATGGATGCACCACTGGCAGGTATTGGCACGCCAGAGAGGGCCCGAGGTGCTCACGTCCCCTGGCCCCTCATACGAGACTCTCACATTTGGAGAGTCTACGGGGGCTTGACAATGAACTGCGTGGGCGTCTCTCACGCTTGAGGAGTTGAACGGTGACTCCCGTCGCGACCTGCTCCACTGAGCCCCTCTGGTGTGTGCGTGTCTCCCCAGGTGGGCGCCATCGTGGGAATCGTGGTGGGGTGCGTGCTCGGGGTGGGCCTGCTGGCGGCGGGTGTGCTGTACGGGATGCGGCGGCGGCGGGAGGAGCGGAAGGCGGTCGAGTTCCAGGACTTCCATCACGCACACCACAGTATGGACTCCCACCAGCAGCCGGCCGCGCCAACGGCCCCGGAAGCATGACGGCTGCAACGAGGTTTGGTGATGCTTTTCGCGGTTTTCCCCATCTTGGAGATGACGAATCCGACCTGGTTGACAAGAGCGGGCCATTTTGCCTCTGGCCTTCTGTTGATCCGCGACTTCGTCGAATGATTTTAACACGCCTCTTTTGAATGTATTACATTGTGATTATTAAGAGGAGGTTTGCTTTGGTGAGGTAGGTGCGTCGGTCCGATTAGGTTGCCCCTGGTTTTGAAGCTAGTGGTAAGGAAATACGATGTAGAGCTGTATTTAAGAGACGCATCTGACCACCGTCGGTTGAGAATTCACCCTCTGCTCTACCTGGGTCCCTCTAGAATCCCGTACGTATGAGAATAGGTACAAGCGGAAGCTGCCATACTAGAGCCGCAGTGAGTGCACGCTAGCACGTACAAAGACAGAGGAGAAGCGCCTTTTCGGGCGCTGCTTAGAGCATATACTCAAAGCAAGTTGTTGGGCACTTTTATCGCCGACTACATAATCGGGGGCACACGTACTCAATCCGTTGAGGCACCACGATCATTGATGTACATAATCTGTAACATCGAGGCGCCTCCAAAGGCTTCTCGATCCGACAGTCCGTCGTGAGGCCCACAGAATCCAGCGGAGCTGCAGCCACCCCGCCGTCGCTGTCAGCCTAGCTTTCATATAGTGCATCTTGGGTAGAGCGGCTGCCATTTGATCTCACGCACATGCGAGTTTTATGCTAGTTCGTAAGCAACCCTCACGTGATTGTCATCCGACGGCGGGCGGACTCAAAATGAGACCATCGAACATCCTAAGCGGATATCGGTTTTAAGGTTTGCATATGATAGTGAAAAGCATCTGTGCTATGATTCAGATCGTCGGTAGTATAGCCTGGCACGTGGCTAGCCGGGTTCCAGAAAAGCTGCACACTCGATCGTGACGGTGGCAGCCGCCACATAGAAGCCCTCATCATTGGGCCAAAGTTTGACTCCAGGCGGCTGCTGCCCCATGCATGGTCTGGCTAAATACCCGGCAATATATGTGGCATTGCATACAGATCGACGAACTATTGTCTCGGCCAACGCCGTGTCAACACATGGCCTGCTGAGTGACTTGATGCACGGCTTACTTTTGACACATTCTTGGACTACGCGTGAATTGCCGAGCACGATGTCTATCTTTTTGAAAGGTGAAGGGCTGACAACGCGGCTATCGGATTCCAGCCATGCGTTCGTTTCTCAGAGCCGCTGTAGATCGCGTAACTTCCCTTACCGCAGCCTGTGGCGGGACACGAATTATCTAGCGTGCGCCAACCGGTGGACGGGTCCACTCCAGAGTCCCGGGGCATCCTTTACAACGTTGCTGATCCTCTGGTTGAGGGTGGTCACGCAAGCAGCCTACATGTCTAATTGACGTTCTGCTTGACATTTTCGGTCACTTTCTACTGCGCTTCCGGTGCTACAGGGCTGCCTTCTTCTTGTTGAAGGCCATGCCACTTATGCCGCTTGGATCAGTGACGAACCTGCGCAACCGCACGGTAAGATCAGCCTGTCACCTCCCTAGGTCGAGCACCGACACCCTGGATCCTCAACGCCGGACGGCCAAGCTCCTGAAAGGCGCTTAAGCACAGTATCCAGCTCAGTTGGCACGCCAAACGAAAAGAAAAGTAGAAACGGAACAACGCAGGACGCTTTGCGTATCTCACCCTAGAGGCTTGTAAAACGACACGACGTTGGGCTCCGCATACAGGTTGATGTTTACAATCCCCTGCGAGGAACAGAAGCACCGTCAGCGAGAGGAAGAGCGGGCCGAAACAACGGATAGGATGACAAATCGAACAACGAGGATCATCTAAATGTGACAACAGACACGAAAACAAATCTCTTTCTGAAGTCGCCACTTCAAGTCTGTAGTCAAGCTGCTCAAAGAGAGAGGGAAGTTTGAGGCTTTCGGCTCCGTACTTGACTCAAAGCCCTGCCAACCAGGCGAGTGCAAAGAGCATTCGCAAGGCAACGCAGAGGTCTCGTGCAAGCAATCCCGGGGCCGCACTCTGCATTCCTCAGTTGCACGACGATTGTGCCACCCCGGCGGTCCAAGCAGGCGTGCTCGTTCTACCAATGTCCTGCGTGCTAGAATTGTATCCCGCACAATCAATCGAAGGTCGGGCCGATTGAGGTGACAGTGCTTTCTACGGGACACTCTTGGTCGCGACTGGTTGACAGATTCGGATCAACGAAGTTGCCCAGCGGATGGTTGCTCTTACCCTATTTAGAAGCTCCGCCATCAGCCTTTCGATAACCGCCTGCAACAGATGAGAGAGGCTTCTCGACTGGCCATTTCAGACACAAGCAGAGAAAGAGAACAGCAACTCTGATCGGAGGGCCTGAGATTGCATCACCAGCCTGCCTGGCAGGTTCAAGTCCGCCGTGACGCGAGTATCGCCGCAAATGCACACCACCTTCCGTCCGCCTAAGCCAAACAAGCGTGCATCGCAACCGGCGAGCTCGTTTTGCCGTCCCTCCAATGGTTGGGCCATCACCTTGCCGAGGCCTTTCTTCTGCCAGCCCGGGTCCACCACCACGTCCCAGATGGTCTGCACCACAGCACACCCCCGCATCACCCGCACCGCCACCATGACTCGAACTGATGTACGACGCCAAGAGCGAAATGCAGCATCGGCAGTCCAGGTCAAAAGCATTTCGCAGGCGACCAAGTTCGAATGCAGTATGGCGTCCAGGCATGTACTTACAGCATTAAAGACCGCGTCCCCAGTGGCTCTGGCAAATGCAATCAGCCGGTCGTTTTCCGTGTCTAGGAGCCAAACCATCTGCATGCGAGGATGTGTCAAAAGAGTGGTGGAAAAGGCAGGCAATCAAAGCAGGTAACTTGGGTGCACGAGTCCCAGCGGCAGCTGCGAGGTGCAGGCTAAGCTTACGTGCTGGCCCTTGATGCCCCTGGCCTTTCAGGGCTGAACGACAGAGCAATCTTCGTCTCCCAAAACATCAGCATATGGGCAGGAAGAGCAACCAGAGTCAGTGGTTCCATCGCCAAGCAATATCCATGGCGACAAGTGCCGCTTACCGCTAGGGTGTTTTGAAGTGCTATCCGCAGCTTGGACCGCTTTCTGTGAGGGAACCCAACCTGCAGGCACCCATGGAATGCGCAGATTAGCCACAGGCAGCACATAATTGGGGGAACACAAGAGCAGTGGATTCGTTTGGCATGGCCCTTCTTCTCCTCCAATCGGATGCTGCCTCCTTGCCTCGCATCTCTCCACACTCTCCTGTTCAGAAAGGAGGGCCCACGAGCCCTGTCCTGCCAAACGCACCCCCCCCCCATCATTCTGAGGCCGAGCGCCGTTCAATTAAGCCCCCGCTTATTTCAACTGGCGTTGGGTGCCCACCTTGCCAAACAGTCCGTTGAGCTGGTCCAGGTCGACGCTGTCACCTTCAGAGTTGAAGCGCAGCCCCTGCACCAGCGCACCAGCCTCCTGTGATCAGAGGCCTTCAAGCGGGGCCACACCAGAGTCTGCAGGAACATTCCTTTCGAATGAGCCTGCTCAGGATCTTGACAGCAAGGCCCCGCATGATGTGAACAGTCTTTGCTTCAACAGAGTGCTGGATAAGCTGACGCTTCCCTCACCTCTTCTGAGAATTCCTCATCTGAGATGCTGAACTTCTGCACACAATAGAATTGACTGGTCATAATTCAAGCACAATGGTGGTGTGCCAAGTGGTACTGCCACTAATGAAGCCCAAAAGACTAACAACCTGATCAAAGCAAGGACAATGCGGGGCTGATTTGGACTCTGCATCAATGCTGCCAGCTGTGTGTGTGTGGGCGTTCTGGGGGCTCAAAAAGCAGACAGACCCTCACTCCTGACAAGGTGATCCCCGCAGCTTCTGTTGTGAGAAGCCTTTCTCGCAGTCCGCTGTCCTGCTGTGACTGGTGTACCCCCTCGATCAAGCACCTCGGTGTCCAACAGCCCATCCGTTTTCTGCCCTGCCTCACGCCTCGTTTCCCATTGAACCTTTCCAGCTGTGGATTCAGCGGTGCACTTGTGCCGCCACATTGCAGCGACCGAAGTGGATGCCGCCTGTCTGTCCAGCACGCCCTGAGATTGTCGAAAATGGGGCCAGGCTCCGCATGTAGCCGCGAATGCGCACCAGGCTCCCCCACTAGGGAGCCATTGTGTAGAGTGTTGTTGCACAGCTGCAATCTCCACCCTGCGGCGGTGGCACACATGGTGAGCTGTTCGTCAGCGCCACCAAGAGCAAGACTGGCTTGGTCTGTTCTTCAGCCTTTTGGGTCTCAAAGTCAGAAGCCGCCTTAGCTACCTAGGTGTCTAGCTAGCTTCCTGCGTTCCCTCGAGTTCTGCCAGTGCCAGAGACTTGAGTCCAGACTCGGAGCTTCTCGTCAGAACCTCTGCCACTCCGACATCCACCACTGCCAGATCATGTTGAAACTTGAAGACGGGAGTCAGAGGTCGAGAAAAGGGCGCTGCATTTTGCCATGCCTTCAAGTTCACGGTTTTCCTGATGCAACAGTGCAGGTCGCCCCTTCTGTATCTAGTTTTAGTCCAGCGCACGCATTCATCTGATGGCGGAGAGCTGGAAGATGGCGCACGACAATAGCACCTCTTCTCAGCACCACGATTCGCCCCTTGTTTTTGCCTATTATGTCACAGGCCATGGGTTGGGTCATGCGACACGCGTTGTGGAGGTAAGCCATTGCGCATACTGCGATCGGCAGCATAGAATAAGGACAATCTGTCTCCTCTGGAAAGATGCGAGCCACGCCACCTCCTGCAAATGGCTGTCTCCACCACATCAACAGAATTGCCACCGCGCATGGTGATTTGTTTGTCAGGCTTAGAATATTGAGGCTGCGCTCCTCTTTTGTTGCAGGTGACGCGGCATCTCATCGATGCGGGCCATGTTGTGCACGTTGTTACGGCTGCGCCTGAGAATGTGTTCTTCAGAGAGATACAGTCTGCCAATTTGCACGTCAGGAAGGTGGGCTGGTCCCTGCGTGCACAGTTACTCCTTGTACGCTGCCCTGCTTGTGTGGTGGTGGTGGTGGTGGTGGTATATACAACAGTAGGGGGTGGTGGTGGTATGTTACTAGTGGTGTAAGTGAGCGCCTTGCCTGTGACACCCCCCTAAGCCTGGTCTGATCCTGAAGGATTTCACCTTCCTGATGCTGCTGGTTACAGCCACTGAACCAAAACAGTACCCCTGAGTGGTGATGCATTTCATAGAATTCTGAACGCTTTTGGTTCTACCATGTGATTAACATAACAAGCAGAAAAAGCGATTGATTCTTACTTCCAGGTGGGAACATGAAAGTCCTGCCACTTTCTTTGCAGGTGTTGCTGGACACCGGCGCAGTGCAATCTGATGCTCTCACCGTCAACAGAATTGCTTCTTTGGAACAAGTAAGCACCTCGCCACCAACAGAATCATCGTGGGTCTTCATGGGCTACTATCTCAAACTTTTCTTTGAGCTCTTTCTGGTGGAATAAAGAATGACGGTCAAACATCAACATTGCTCGCTGTTGGAATCAGTGGTTCGGGCACCAAAGGGATTTGTGCTCATATTGAATCTGCATATGGAAAACCCCTGCATCTGCTTGCGTGCAGTACATGAAGACGGCTGTCCTTCCCCGCGAGTCCTTACTCAAAGACGAAGCGGCATGGCTCAAGTCAGTGGGCGCCAACCTGGTGGTGAGGCTGCCCACCGGATGGCAGGCCCCGCTTGTTCCAATGCGAGGTCAATGATGTCGGTCCACCTTGAGCAGTTCACACAAACAGATAGATCAGTGCATCAGTACGCAAGTGTGCCTACCGCTTGAATTGTAGATTCGTGCTTCTGATTCTTGGATTGTACGCAAGATTGGTTTGCTGAACGACGCTGCAATCATCAAACATGGGGCCAATCCCAAACTAGAGCCTCTTGAGTCGAACTGATATGGAGACATCAACACCTGTTCTTGGTAATAACATGTGAGACTCTTGACCCTTTCGTTCTTGACTTGGTCTTATTGGCTTTGATCACTCAGCGCAATCAGCCATATCAGTCTGTGAGCTACTTGAGCCTCTTGTTCCTTTTGAGAAGACAATTGTGGCTGTTGTGTTGCCAGGTGTCTGACGTGGTCCCGATTGCGTGCGCTGCCGCGTCTGCTGCGGGCATTCCCTCCATGTGCGTGTCCAACTTCTCGTGGGACTACATCTTCGCGGAGTACGTCATCGTGGCCGGGGCCCACCACCGCTCCCTCCTCTGGCAGGTCAGCCCCCGCAGTGCCACCCCGCTGCGCCCCAGCCTCACAGCTGCAAACATCAGGTGCAGCTTTTTGCCTGCGGCCCCCTTCCTGGAGGGCGCTATCTCATCTAGGGACGTGCTTTCTACCACAATCGAGTGAATTGGGTTCTGACTGTCCTGGATCCCCCTGACCCCCCTGTTCTGGGCTGGCATTTATGCCAGATTGCGGACGACTACTCTCAAGCCCTGGGCCTCCTGCGCCTCCCTGGCTACTGCCCCAGTGAGCCGTCATATGCGCGCCTTTGCCTCTGCGTGGGTCTGCGGTGCATCAACTTTATACCCAGCCGTTCTTATACAAATCAATTGCTCGCTTCTCCTGGTGTACCCCTTTCCAGGGTGACAGCATGGTAGGGACTCTTCCTGAAGCCCTGTCCGTCCCTCTGTGCAGTGCCCGCTTTCCGCAACGTTCTGGATGTCCCACTGGTGGTGCGACCCGTCCGCCGCAGCCGCCAGCAGGTGAGCGCCACTGTTGCCGCTTCGTTTGCGCCTGCTTGTCCCAGGCTGCTGCCCGGCGCCCTGCACTGGCGTCTGAGATGCACTACTGATGGGGAATCAACGCCAACCAGCGCCGTCGAGGGATACGTGTATAAGGGGTCAGGGTGTGATGGCGACGACGGGTGGGGCAGCTCAAGTCGGGTCTTTGGCTCTGTGGGGCATCATCCAGTTGAGGCAGAAGCTGGTGTGAGCGATGCTTCCGGCGTTTGGGCGATCCTGTGCGCGGGTTCCGCCCGGTTGCGTGACTGCGTTCATGGCGGTGTGGTGTGAGCAGGTGCGCGCGGAGCTGGGGGTCAGCGAGGATACCAAGCTGCTGCTCTTCAACTTCGGGGGGCAGGTGAGCGAGCACGGGCAATGGAGTGGAGCATGCAACGGAAGCCCCTGTTTCTTGATTTGGATCGCTGGAAACAGACACGAGTTAGTCTCGTAGTGTCATCATTCTGATTGTTCTCGAAAGTATCACTGATCTAGAAGATCTTGAGATGAAACTACTGTAATTGGACACGACCTACTTTCTTAAATCCTTGATGAACATTTCTCGCAATTCCATCGATCCCAGAAGACCTTGGTTGTCGAACCACGATACTTCGGCACGGACTAATCCGGTACCTCCATAATGGAGGTTTCGCGCAAAATGTCACTGAGTCTAGAAGACCTCGATAAGCGAACTACGACACATGGACACACCTACTCTCGTACTTCCGTAACCAACTTTTCTCATAATCCCGTTGAACTTAAGACTCTAATTTACGAATCACGATTCAGGCCTAAGCACTGCAAAGGATATACAGTCGTTCCTTTTGGACTCTATGGTCTGCTTCGAGGACGCGGTAAAAATGGTTGTTCCTGCCGAGGTTTGCTGCTGTGAGTAATCGGAAAAAACTCCCGTCGTGGAACATGTTCCTGCCTACTAACGTGACCCCCTCTTGTTTTGCAGGACGCCAGCTGGCAGCTGCAGGCCAGCTTCCTCCCTCCCGGCTGGAAGTGTCTGGTGAGCTCCGCCTCTTTCTGTCTGCCCTGGCGCACAGCCCCGTGCATCTTCCGATGGCCCGCCTGCCGCCTCGCCTCTTTCCTGCGGGTGTCCCCCGGGTGAGCGCTGCGGTGCTGCGCTGCAGGTGTGCACCGCGCTGCCGGTGCCGGCGCTGCCCCCCAACTTCCTGCGCCCGCACCACGACGCCTACACCCCGGACCTCATCAACGCCTGCGACTGCATGCTGGGTAAGCACCAGCGCTGGCAGATCGGACTCGCAAAGCTTTGTATGGGAGCGGCTGAGGGCTGTTGCCTACGAGGTTGCACCCCCCTCCTCGGTGTGCTTGGGCTCTCAGTGCAGCAACACGCGGCTGGGGTTGCCGTTGTGCTGGTCGTGGCAGTGACCTTGGTGCCGTGTGCTGGTCCAGGCAAGATCGGGTACGGCACCGCGAGCGAGGCGCTGGCCATGAAGAAGCCGTTTGTGTTTGTGCGCCGTGACTACTTCAGCGAGGAGCCCTTCCTGCGCAAGATGCTCGAGGCAAGCTGCACAGCCCTGGGCGCCAGGCCCGCTGGCCGACGTCGTCATACTCTCTCTCACCCTTTCGTAGCAATGCATATTGTGAGGTGGAGTCACTGTCTCTTGCTGGTGCATGCCTTTGTTCCCATGCTCTGCCACTCTTGTAAACCCCGCCGTGGCTTGTTGCCCCAGATTCATCGCTGCGCAGTGGAGATGAAGCGGCAGGACTTCTTCGAGGGCCGCTGGCAGTCGTACCTGGACCGTGCCGCCGTCATCCACCCCAACTACTCGGGCCGGCTGGACGGAGGCAAGGTATGTGCAGCCCCGCCACTATCCACCCGGGGCCCACAGGGATGGGAGCACCCACTAGGCGGACGAATCGTGCTGCACGATTCGCCATCGGAGAGTGCTCTTTGGATCAGTTTCTTGTAGCTTCATGAGACGAGGAGATGCAAAAGGCACGACGGCGTTGCAGGTGGTCCAAATGCGTCCGCCGGTGTTGTGCTGCGTGAAACGTCCGCTGATCCTGCGGTGTGCTGCAGGTGGCGGCTCGCCTGCTGCAGGACGCCGCGCTGGGCCGCCTGGACACCCGCCACCGTGTGAGCCCTCCGCCCAACTTACGCCCGCGCCTGGCCCAGGGCCGTCAGGGGAAACGGCGCGCTGTCCTTCTCAGGAATAAGAAGACCCGCTTCTGTGCTGGCTGTCATGCACAACTTCCATCGGCGGATCTTGATCGCGTGCGATTGTCGAGTCATGTCTGCTTGTGCGGGTTGCCATGGCCCGCCCCTGAGGCTGGCTGTGTGTGGCCTGTGGCGTGCAGCAGGGCGACGGCGTGGGCCGGCTGCGCGACGCGATCGTGCTGGGGTACCAGCTGCACCGCATGCCGGGCCGCCTGGACATCGACGTGCCCGAGTGGTACCACGCCTGGGCCAGCGAGGCCGCCTCCCCCGCGCCGTCCCCCCTCCACGGCAGCCCCCTCCCCGAGCTGCGCCTGCTCGACACGCAGCCCGCGCGCATGGCCGACCAGCTCACCGACAGGTGCGCCCACTAGGAGGATGTTGCCTGAGCGCACCGCCAAGCATGGGGATAGGTCGCTGGCGCATTGATGACCGAGAAAACGCTTTCAACAGCTTGACTGCCGCTGCCCGCCTTAGCCCCCCGCCCTTGCCGTGCAGCGCGCTGGCGTCCTTCACCCTCCTCCACGGCGACCTGTCGGGGCGGCCCGACACGGCGGCGTTCCTGGTGACCCTGGCGCGGCTGCAGCAGGAGGGCGACCTGGCGGCCTCAGACAGCGCGGCGCAGCCGACGGAGCGCGAGAAGCTGGCGGCGGGCACGCTGTTCCGGTGGGAGGACGAGCTGGTGGTGGCGCGCGCGCCGGGGCGGCTGGACGTGATGGGCGGCATCGCGGACTACTCGGGCAGCCTCGTGCTGCAGATGCCCATCAAGGAGGCCGCGCACGTCGCGCTGCAGAGGAGCGACCCCGGTGAGCGCGCGTGCGACGACCGGAGACATACATGCTTCCAAACAGCCTGGGGGCATGAAGCGTCAGTCTGCTCGTCGGTGAACAAGGACCGGTATCGATGTCGGTCGATGAAACAGTAAAAATAGCGTTCACTATAGCTACGTACAAAATAAATATTGCAACAAGTTACGATTGTGGGGGTGCCCCATCGCCCGCATGGTTGTTCTCAGTTGGTGTTAATCGCCATACTGTCTGTTGCTTTGCACCTGCAGCCAAGGCGGTGCTGTGGAAACACACCATTGCGCGGCAGAAGGCCAAGGGGCGGTACCCGCAGGCGGCGCTGCACGTCGTGTCGTTTGGCGCGGACAAGACCAACCGCTCGCCCACGTTCGACCTGGACCTGGCGGACCTGCTGGACCCCGCCACGGGGCAGCCCCTCGAGTACGCCGCGGCGCGCGCGCTGTTTGAGCGCGACCCCAGCCAGCGGTGGGCGGCGTATGTGGCCGGGACGGTGCTGGTCCTCATGCGCGAGAAGGGCCTGCGCTGCGGCGACAGCCTGGCCATCCTGGTGCAGTCGGCGGTGCCCGAGGGCAAGGGCGTCTCCTCCTCCGCGGCCGTCGAGGTGACGGCCACGCTGTCCAGCATGCCGCTGTCTCGTACTCGTCCGTCGACATGTTGTCACGGGGCAACAACTGTGTGCAGTGTCGAGCTTGTCGGAAAAAGTGCCGTTGCAACTTGTTCAGTCAGCGCAGACTTTTTCGAGCTCTTTCAATCTAGCATGTGCTTCATTCCTGCCGAGCGTTATGGCTGCGTCGCCCCTGATAGTTTCTCCGCTGCCTCTCGGTGCCAGGTGGCGACCATGACAGCAGTGGCTGCGGCGTTCGACCTGTCGATCCCGCCCGCGGAGCTGGCTGCGCTGTGCCAGCTGGTGGAGAACGCGGTGTGCGGCAGCCCGTGCGGCATCATGGACCAGATGGCCTCCTGCTGCGGCCACGCCGGGAAGCTCCTCGCGCTCGTGTGCCAGCCCGCGCGCGTGCTGGGCCACGTGGACATCCCGCCGCACATCGCGCTGTGGGGCGTCGACTCGGGCATCCGCCACGCCGTGACCGGCGCCGACTATGGCTCAGTGCGCGTGGGGGCCTTCATGGGCAAGCGCCTGATACAGGAGGCCGCGCACGGAGAGGCCGCGGGGGTGGCCACGCGCGATACCGGGGACGCGGACGGCGACGACGGGCTAGCCAGCGCGGCGCACGGGGACGCGCAGCTGGAGTACCTGGTCAACGTGCCGCCGCACAGGTGACCGCCGCCGACAGGGACACCGCCGGACGACTCTCTTTGAGTTCCTGAGGTCCATACCGCAAAGAGGGGGCAGGGTCAGTGCGACAGCCATGCGTGCTCAGTTGTCACATGCACTCCCGCTTTTGCTGACACAGCTGTTGCGCTGGGGCAGGTACGAAGCGCTGTACGCCCCGCTGCTATCGGAGGAGATGACGGGGCACGAGTTTGTGGCACGCTACGGCAGCCACCACGACCCGGTGACCAGCATCGCGGCGGACAAGACGTACCCGGTGCGCGCGCCCACAGCGCACCCGATCTACGAGCACTTCCGCGTCGCCGCCTTCTCGGAGCTGATGCGCGCCCCGCCCAGCGCCGCGCAGCTGCGCATGCTGGGGGAGCTCATGTTCCAGGTACACCACCCCGCGCCCCGACGTGCAGCCAGCACGAGCAGCTGCCCGCTGAAGCGAACCCGAGTTGTCGTCAAGCGTCGCTGCCTGCAGATTTGCACTGTGTTGCCCGTCGTGCCGCTTGATCCCCTCTGACGCGGGGTGGCTGCCTGCTTTGCACGCAGTCCCACACGAGCTACGGGCGGTGCGGGCTGGGCAGCGACGGCACGGACCGCCTGGTGGGCCTGGTGCAGGGCCTGGCCGGGGACAGCAGCGGCGCCACGCCCGCGGCGGGGCTGTACGGGGCCAAGATCACGGGGGGGGGCAGCGGCGGGACGGTCTGCGTGCTGGGGGCCGCAGGCGAGCAGAGCAAGGCGCAGATCAAGCAGGTGCGGGCAGCCGGCGTCTCGGCTTCTGTGGGACGTCACAACGTGAACGGCACAATCGCCTTCATTGACCGATCTCCGATGCAAGGAGGTTTGCCCAACTGTCTCTACTGGCTGGTGACATCTCGTTCTGCTGGTTGATGTGGAAAAGGGCAGTGTTTCGCTCAGAGATGGATGGACCATGAGAAGGCAAGCGTGGGCAGTGCCGGCCGTCCTGCTGACGGCGGCGGTGTGTCTGTGCAGCTGAAGCAGCGGTACAAGCGCGCCACCGGCCACAGCCCGTACATCTTCGAAGGCTCCTCCCCCGGTGCGGCGCAGTTCGGCCACCTGCGCATCCGCCGGCGCCCCGAGCAGGCCCCGCCCAGCAAGGCAGGGGAAGCAGCGCAGCGGTAAAGAGAATGTGTACCAGGGTGAGCATAGGACCCGCTGGTGCCATGTTGCGCACTCTGATAGGGCATGCCCGTGTACGTCTTCATCAACAGGGTGCAAAGCGCAAGGTGAGGTATACATACAAACAAGTGGCAGGAAGAATCGGATGGTGGTGATTGATCAGCGGAAATTCAGCATCTACTGGGTCTACTTAAAACGCGGTGGCTATCAAGCCTTCAGCTTGCGACTGTGGTATCCTCAGCGCTTGCAATACTCAGGCTCGCTGCTGCATTTAAAATCAGCCTCCCAAGGGGGCTGGATCGCAAGGTGGTGCCATTGATTCAGTTCCGTGGGTCCAGCCGGCTGGCACCTACTTCAACTAAAGCAGAACTAAGATGGCGGCAGCAACAGGAACCTGATTTTACTAAATCAATTACCATGATACGCTTGAGGACTTGGATCGCCGCCATGCCATATACATGCATCACCTTATAGAGCTCAAACTGAGGCATGGGACGTAATGGAGCACATGGGGTTGGGGCTCTGTTTCAATCCAGCAAGCTTGATCTATACCTGATCTGATCTGCCCGCATGGCCTGGTCTTTTGATGATTTCTAAAAGACTCGGGCTGAGCTAGGGTTGTCATCATCAATTGCATCGCATAAATGTTTTGTCTGCACCTCCTTCTAGATATTCATCGACAACGATCTGAGACAACAATAAGTCCGCATATTGCTTCTACAGGGTCGAGAAAGTTACGAAAATTGGGTGAGAATTTTACCACTATGGTACGGATTCTGCACACACAGGAACGGCACCATATTCATTCTAGAACGATTCTGGCACCAGAATCGTACCATTATGCTACCATGTTCTCATGTACCATTCGTCCACCGTTCCGGCACCAGATCAACATGTTGCTTGAGTCCTGGTACTATAGCCTCACCATGCCGTTCTGGTACCTTTACAGTCTCATTTTGCACCGGGGGGTGTTCTACAATGAAGTATATATTGCTTGTAGCATACACGAGACGGTGTACACCTAGGATATTTGAACAGTCTCAAAATGGTACGTGCGGAATTGATCAAGTACTTAAAATCTTTAGGGTGCAGATTGCCATTAAGCTCCTCGATCGACCACAAAGTTTTGCAACATGCGGAAATTGATCAAGCCTGCACATGGCATGCCATGATGCACAAAGACAAAATCAAAGAATGATACTCTCAACCAACTCAATTTTCAAACTTAGGTAGTATAGGGTATTCAAGTAGACAATGGACCACATGTTGACCTGAGTACTATATGGAATTTTGTGTGCATAGCCTGAACAACCATAGTTTCATGGACGATGGACCTTTTTGTTGAAGGTGTGAAAAGATGCTCAGCCTATGTAGTGCCAACGCATGATGTTAGGCGCAAAGCATGGTCCTAGGAGTAGGTTTCTCGCCTATGAGTACTGTACAACAGTTTGAACTTCAATGACACCGCGTCCAAAAGCATAATCCTTTCAAGTTGTCAAAGCAACCAACCTTTGCGACATCAAAGCCACACGCACACTTGTGTTTATCATTGACCTGTAATCCGTAGCCAAGACCAACTAAACCAAACCTGGTCCATCAATGTGATGGGTATCAATGTCCTACATCCCCTTATCTGCCACAGTCCCCCTAAGGAGGACTGCATCAATGCCAATCTAAGTTGCTCCGTCTCTTCTTAGAAGGAGGCACCTGAAGGCCCAAATCAGGGACCACAAACAGATCATCCGAATCGGGCACGACAGCCGGGCCCATATCATACGACGACCGCGCCTTGCCCTTCAAAGCGGATCCCCCACCCTTTCTTGGAACAGCTGGGCTGTTGCTTGGCACCAAACCAGGGGACGGCGAATAGTCAAAGTTGGGCACCTCGTGCATTGACTCCGCGAAGGCGAGGTCGTCAAACATCCCAAGGTCAGCCGTCCAGTCAAAGTCACCCATAAGCGCGTCCATACCCTGCACAGACCGCACACAACTTGATCAGACCAGCTCACACATTCTGATTTGGACATTGTAAGGAGCGAACCCAAACATTGAAGAGGTGTGACCATACGAAACGTGCCCGGACGCAAGAAAATACCAGACTTTACAAGAATCCCTACAGTGATTGTCACAAGAGCTGCTAATGGACACATAGCAACTGCATGCGCCGTCTCAATGTGCAGCTTAGCTGCCTTGCATGCCAGTTGCTGACAGGGCGCTGCAACGACAATCTCCTTCCAAAAGAAGGAGCGAACAAAAACTTGTTGACAGGTGGCCCAATGCACTTGTTGTTGCTCTCGCTTGATAACCAAAGAGAAATCACGCTTGACAACTAAAGAGAAATTAGTGCATCGAACTGCACCATACCCAGCGTATTTGCACAAAAACCAGATATCTTTTGGCAGTCTCGTAATGACCCACAAATGCTCACCCTAAGACCTCATCAAAGCCAGCGCGCAGAATGTGCTGCCAATACAGGCACAGAACTTACCTTTGTAGACCCAATGTCATTAAGGCTGTATCCATCCGCTAGGTTTGGGATCCCCAAAATCTCATCCACGCTCCACACCGGCACCGTCGAGTCAGGAAGCTCATTTACATTCACGCTCTGCCCCCTCCTCAACCCACTGCTGCTCGCACCCCCCCCTCGTGAGCTCGGCCCTGCCCCCGAGCTGCCCCCCCCAAAACCCCCACTAAACCCTGAACCCCCGCCACTGAAAGCTTCTGGAACGGGACTGGAAGGCACTGCCGTAGCTGACTTCTTCTTCGAGGGTTTCTGTTCGGCGGGCTGGTAAACAGGGACACGGGCAACTGGAGAGGTGGGCTTTGGAGGGAAGGGGGAACCGAGGACCTTAGACGGGGCAGATGTTGAGGGGGCCTCAGCCTGCTCGTCTGCCCCAAGATTTTCTAAGCCAACGCGGACTCCGGTCAGTAAAAACCGAGTGTGCTTCCGCGCTAGATCGTTGGCAGTGTGAATAGAGATGTCGCAATCCCGGCACAGGAGAGCGCGGTCCTCGAGGCAAAAGAAGAACGCCGCTCCCTCCTGAAATAAGAGCAAGTTTGCGTGGGCAGAACTTCAAGGGGCTCGATTGTGCTCAAGGTTTTGACAATTGCTGAGCCATACTCAAGCTAGAACCATGGACTCTTCAGATTTCAATAATTGCTTGCATAATAACCCAGCAATGCTCATACACAGGGCCAGTATGCTTAACCAAAGGTCGCATGCACTGCAGCCTTTAGCAATTGGAGCTGGCTGCAGCAGCTGCCGGAACTATGCAACCTCATTGAGAAATCTTTATGCAACGAATCAGAGGTAGAACGCCCTTTTACCCTCTCACTATTGCAGCCTGCAAGCTTCTGAGTATAACAACAGGTTAAGAGACACCGCTGTGACCTTGTGAGCTGGACGTAGACCTTTTCTGTTACTCAAGAAGCAGAGCAATCTGTCATGGACAATCTCTTTAAATGCTGCTCACAAACAGCGTTCACGCCCCCACAGCCTGGCAGCTGACCACTCGACAGCAGGTATCTTGAGTGACAGATATCTTTACTTCCAAGCCATGGCAAATCAACTGTCATGGTTGGCACAAACGGAGGACCTTGACAGCATACATTGTAACGTTTCTGCAACATGATCAGTAAAACCAGATATGGTATTTTGTTGGAGCCCTCAACAGCCCAGCCTGAAGTGCCTGAGAAGCATGCAACAAAGGGCACTTGGAGTTGTATGCCTCGCCATAACCGCAGTTGGTTCAGCACCCCTTCTGAGCTCAACTGTGAGCAATGCACCTCACATAACGTTTCCCCTGCTCGCTGCCATCAGGACTAAGGCCCTCACTGAATCCACCCACCTGGCATATGTCGCATTTTGACCCCTCTTTTGGCTGCGCCAGGAGAGGCACTCGCTGATGCTTGTTGGCCAGCCTGTTTGCTGCATGGACCCTTTTGTCGCAGTCCACACACAGCGCTGCCTCGTCTGCACAGCACATCACTGCCGCCACCGCATTCTCGCATGCGTCGCACTGAATCTTCATCGTGACCAAATGCACCCCCCCCCCCAGCCCCAAACTCCAACACTCCGCAGTTTCTTATTCTCCTATCACTGCCCTCCAATTGCAGAAACAATGATGCACAAAACAGCGCAAAGCAAAGGCCGCCCTACGCAAACCAAAGTTGTGCGCCCCTTTCGCGCAAGGCAATCTGAGCGGCCACGAGCTGCAGCCTGGTTCTTGGCCAGCGTCGGCGAAGACCTTTCTGACCGCAGGAAAGCCCATGCTGGCAGGGCAAGCCTGCTTCAGGCAAACAGTGTCATTGTGATCAGGGGTACATTAAGCATAAGTTGCTTGACACCAGTACTTTACGGTTCGTGCAACCCTAGCCACGCAGAAGCCCTTCTAGATGCATGAGCTTGCACGAATCCGACGGTTGAACGGCTCCCCATGGTCGGCGGCAATCTTGAATCTGCTGCGTCATGGAAGTTGTGCTGACGTACCTCTGGATACGCTCCGAAACCCGTCGTTATCAGTCCCGGAAATTTGGTCCATCGCTTTCGACGAAGATAAAAAGTGCATATCGAGAATGACGTCGACCGCAGATCGTTTGTCGACTTGTGATTCGCTGAAGTGAGACAATCGGATTCGGTGCTTGGCCTCCGTATCGCGGATATTGTCCCCCTGCATGATCGATCCGGCAGTAACCGTCTGTACTGGATTCACGAATTAGGGGCGATTCGCAGTGCGGTCGCCGAATCTAGATTTGCCAGGGGTTTTCGCTGAAATGATAGCGCAACCGTCGATCCGATCGGCAAGCGTGGCCTGCCGTTCGCCCAATCAGCAGGTTGTCAGTGGTCACAATCTCACAATCTCACAATTGCCGCCTACCACCTGAGGGTTCTATTAGAGCCGCCCACAAGCATTATTCTCTCACATTGGAACATTGCTCTCATCGTTTTGTATGCAGGGCGTGCCGCTTTGGATATAGGTAGTTCTGACCATTTGCTTCCGCCCCCCGCTCTCAGGATGGGGGCATGATTCAGCTCGGCCACAGAACTGACAGAAGTCCACGATCCCATTCCCACGGGTTCTATCAATACAATCTGGCAATATGGGACTCGCTGCAAGTGGCTGTATATTATCAAATTATACCACAGATTTGTGACCCATTGAAACAGTGACCAATGCCATCTGAGCGGAAGTAAGATGCCGGATCATTCATCCCCACAGGGTAAAGCTGGCGCAAAGTGAATAAGGATGTTCCAGATTCGCTTTGCGCCAGCTCTACCCTGTGTATGTATGCCTTTATTATTTATGTGTAGTATGTCTTTTTCATTTATGTATGTCCTTATCATTAAGGCGGCACCAAGAGCTTCGAGGGCTCTTCTGCTACAGCCGCTGAGCCGGTCTCCCGTTCTTTCTGCTAGGTTCTGATGCAGATTGACTCAGCACGCGGCTGGGTCTCAAACTTGAATCATACATGCTCCTTTTCCTCAGAAGATTTGAAGTTTTTGAACCACCGTCGATTGCGAAGTCTTTATAATCCGACCTAAAGAGTCATTGCAAAGGAATAGCTTTAGACGATGCATGCATGAGCATCAGGGGATGCAGGCGCATCACAAGATATGTTGATGGAAACCTTGATGAAGGCTACCTGGCTACTGCAAGAGACAACATGAGCCGGGATGCACAGGACATGGGGAGGTCACTCAAACTTGAAAGGCACTCATACTTGGTCCAAGTACAGCCGGAGCTCGAGGGGACAAACTTTACTGAATAGCCCCCTATAGTCTTTGAAATCTGCAGTCTAGCTAATACTATAATCGGGTTTCCATCAGATAGTTGCACATTACTGTGGTGCGTTGACACAGATTAGTTGGATCAGAAGATTGCGTAGTTTGCTAGGTCCATAGGATCTGCTTACTTCGTTCTCTGGACATGACTCGTAGCCGTAGCAAGCTGCGGAGTCAAAAGACAATTCCCGGCCGCGCCGGAGACCGTGCTTCACGGCCATGGTGGCTAAGGGCGTTAATAAATTGGAAGTTACTATCAAAATCTGTACTTAAAAAAGGCATCGGTGGACTGGTCCCATGATCCGACGAAAGTTGCATGCAGTGGTTTACGAGCGTACATGAGCATACAGCGAGCTGCCCAAGTATGTCAATTTTGAAAAATGTGTGTGCAAAAGAAAAATTGTTGCTCCGACCGGAATCGTTCGCTTGGATCCACAGTCAAAGTCGAGCACATTGGCCACTTGTGCTAAAATCCTCGTCCGTCCAAATCAAACCGGAAACTCGCAACTCGGGCCCCTGTTGACTTGAAGATCTTTAAGCCCGCGGGCCGTTGAGTGTACACATTTTAAGCGATCATCAACTTGGCGCTGACAAACCATGCAAGCAGAAGGATGCATTGAAAGGTGGATACGCACGGCCGTAGCCTTCAAACCCCACCCTAAAACGAATTCTCACTTTCAACATCTGCTTAAGAATGTACCATGTGAAAGAAGAGAGTCAACGGCAACCTCGAAATGAACCTCACTAGCTTTAAACAATAGCATGTGTGTCGGATACACATATACATATGCCGAGCTTGGTCTTTGCTTCCAAGCACTCTTCACTGACTAACGGGAATCAATGCCAAGCCGCCTACGTAGAGGAATCTGAGCTGTATGAAAACCACTTCTATTGTACATTGGCAAACGCGAACGGCCAGCATTGACAGATTTTCAAGCGGCAGTAGAGGAAGCTGCCAGAATGGGAGTAAACAAAAGTTATCAACGACAGTCGTCGACGAAGTTTGCACAACCCCAACTGCACCACGACAAGGAGGGGGCGGTGATCCCGGCGCCCTGATGCACTCCGGTGCCGTCCACTGCCGTCTTCCTCCGCTGCCCCCCTACTGCTGCGTGAGGACGCCTTTCGAGCTGCACGGGAACAATAGCGCGCGGCCGTCAGCTTCCGAAGGGGCGCACTGAGTCAGCCCTCCAAAGGGTGGCGCAAGGGATCACGGACACCGGTCATCTGCCCGTTCGAAGGAAGACCTACTCGAGAATGCCCCGTGCAAGTGACACGTCGCAATCACCTGGGGACAGTGCCCGCTCGCCGTGGATCATGTTCCGTAGCCTGCCGTAGCGCACGTGCAAACGCCTTGAACGTGGCCTCCACGATGTGGTGCGAGTTCTTGCCCGCCAGCTACAGGCGCGCACTCAAGCCGGGTCAGCAAAGGGTAGCTGGTACAGTCGCTCTTCAATATGAAGCACCCAGGGAATGCAAGCAGCCGTCAGAATTTGATTGCGATCCATAGGGCCGCATGAGCGCCCGGCATCAAGTGTGCCGCGGGGCTGACCTGGCGGATGTGCAGCGTCATGCCGGAGGTGTTGACCAGCGACTGGAAGAAGTGCTCCACCAGCTGCACGCAGCGGGGCAGGCGTGAGCGGAACGGCCCATCAACAAGCCTGCTGAGCGCGCAGGAAGGCGGGCAAGGTGCAAAGAAGCCTCCCAACCTGTGCCGCTAGGGGAAGGGCCAGCATGCAGGCGCATCATCCGCAGGCGCGTGAAACGGCGCTGCCCCAAAAGGGCGACGGCGGAGAGTACCATGAGTCAGCACACGGGACGCCTGCTTAGGGGCCAGTGGGCGCTGGGCCTCTGCTCGTACCTGTGTCTCGTAATTGCCTATCCGCTCTGTGGGCAGTGCCAGGTCGAAGCTCAGGTGGGGGCGGCCAGACAGGTCCTGCGCACAGCGTGGCGCTCAACATGAAGAGGGAGAGCTGCGGATGTCTAGGAAAGGAGCCCACGAGGAGGAGCGCAAACACTTGAGTGGGGCTGGCTCCTGCGCATGTGCCCCAGGAGCATGGCGGGACACAGGCAGGGACGGCAGCTGCTGGGGAGCAGGCCCAGCAGTGACCTTGCGCACACAACCGCCTCAATACATAAGAGGCAGAGTGTTGGGGGCGTGCGGGAGGGGCGCACCAGGACGACCTGCACGAGGGCCTCGTCCAGGGGGGCGCAGAAGTTGCCAAAGCGGTGGATGCCCTTGCGGTCGCCCAACGCGTCGGCCAGCGCCTGCACCCAGGGGAGGGGAAACGGGGGGGAACCGTCAGAGGAAAGGCAAGCCCAGGCAAAGCGACTGCGGCAACATGGCAGGCATGGCTCATGGAAGACGAAAGCCAGGGCTCCACACTGTGGCGCTTGGCCGCAGGGTGTGCGGCGGGGGTGGCTTCTCACCTTGCCAAAGGCGAGAGCGAGGTCCTCGTTGGTGTGGTGGTCATCAATCCAGGTGTCGCCCTTGGCCCGCACACGCACGTCAAACAGACCGTGCGATGCAATTTGCTGTATTCAACAAACGCCGAGAGAGGCTGACTTCAAGCGGCCTGGATTGCTGAATATTTTATAGAAAATCTTCAAGTAGATGATGTTTGGCGCCGGATGCAGTACACCATTATATCGCATGCTCTGGGTACGCAGAGCCCAATCAAGCCAACTACAACTGAAAATCTTGTTTCTCAAACCAGCATCTAGGAAGAAGTTAGTCACTTTGCCCTGTCTGAAGCTGATACGCTTAGAGCTTACTACGTGAGAGATGCTTCAAAGTTGCCCCCCCAAAACAGCTTGGGTATGCTACTCAGAAGAGCCTTCGTGGTGGCAACTGCAACTTCTGTAGCAATGACACCCTGTTTCCACGAGGCATCACACTGATTCCCCCCCTTCCCCGAACATGTGCATGCGCAGGCCCCCTCTTCCAGCCGGGCAGCGGCTGCTGCGGCTATTGCTCACATCCAGCATGTGGTCCAGGAAGTGGATGCCGCTCTGGTTGTCCGCGCGCCCGCTCCCATCCAGGTTCAGCGCCACGTCCACGGATGTCTCCTTTGTCTCACGCTGCACGCGCGCCACCCGCCCCTCCGCAGCGCTCCAGGCCGCCCCATTGCCCTCCACCGCTGCACGACAGCACACAAAGATGTCAGCTCACGCCATCAGCAGCTCGTCTAACTGCGCTTGCTGGCCGAGCAGCTTGAGCGTGGACCCCCAGAGAACCCGCTGACTCCTCGGCCAGCGGCCCCGCCATATGGGGCGGGAGACCAGCTCCGCTCCTGGTCAACGTCGCACATACCTGTCTCAAGCGCCCCCCCTGCCACTGCCGATGCTGCCATGCCCACACCACCTCTCCTCTCCCACTGTCTCCTTACTGACGGCCGCCACCCGAGGGGAACGCTCTGAGAACTGGGGGAGGGCGCCCCTCCAAACTCCCGGCCGCAGGAGAGCGGCCTCTCCCAGGTGGAGCTGCCGCAGACAGGCGGAAGCGCAGCGCCGCCAACGGTTGGGCGCGAAGGGGCAGACGCGCCTTCTGGCAGCGGCACAGAGCACGGGCACAGGGCAGGGCTGCGAAAGGCGCTAACGGCGTGGCCCACCATGCTGCCAACGAGGAAGGCTGTGCTGCTGCGGGGCTGCTGCGGACTCAATCGCGCCGGCGGAGATCCGAGAGACGCCCTACAGTCTACTTGCCTACCCGGACCGTATGTGCTGCCTCTGTGCTTCAATTGGGTCACGTGCAACACATATATTGACAATTTTGCGATCCCAAGTCACTGCCAGCAGCACGGCAGCCTGCTGCCTCGGCCCTACTACCTACCTTCGGCACGTCCAAAGGACAAAAGGACCGGCAGGCTCCCAGGCTGGCCGCTGTAGTCTGGCCTTCGCCCCACAGTCTCTACCGTATTCGTTCAGAGAGTGCCACGTGTCAGTACGAGTGCACCGGGGCCGGTCCGGTGCTGCCAGGCGTCTAAAAATTCGGGCAGGTTTCATCCGCCCGTCGAGGGGGGCGGTAAGGGAAAATCCTCTATGGTACATGATTCTGAAACTCCGTCAAAAGTGACGCTAAATCGGCTCAAAGTCCCGAACGCCGTCGATCTTGTCCGAGGGGGATCTGAGCCGTTCCTTTTACCGTAGTCCAACGTGATCATTCCGAACGGATTTTCCAAGTAATATTTTCCAACAATCCGACCAGGAATGCGGAATTACTTGTGCGGATTCCGACCAGAATCCGAATGCCCTATGTTCAGACGCATTTTAGGGCTGATTTGAGCAGTTTTTGGCCTTCCGAAGCCTATTTCAGAATTATTTAATCTTTCCGAATTTCCACTTTCCGAACGGGAAACCTGAATTTCTGACTTTCCGAATGCAAATAATTATTTATTTATTCGGAATCATTACCTTGGACGACGGGTATGCCATTCTTCAGATGGTACGTTGGCCCAGTCTGAGTCTGAGGGGGGAGGCAAGTCGGATCCGGCATTATTTTGACGGCCTGGATCCTTCTGGAAGGATCGGACGGTCACGATCCGGTAACGATCCTGCCGGTTTCGCCCGTGACGGTAAATTTCCTCGCAATTACTGTAGAGGAACGCCACGTCACACCCCCACGAAAGTTCCAGAAGTCTTTACGAGCACCGGCGCGTCGAAACTTAAGAAGTTGCGACCGAGCACCGGGGGTATCTCGGGGTCGTGGTCGGTTGACTAGCTTAAGGAGTTGGGACTGGGCAGATTCGTAGAGCAAAGGTGACCGGGAATTGCGGTCCGAGGCGCAAGGGGTAGAGCTGCCGGGCATTGTGTCTCACAAAGGCTGTGCCCAGGGAAGAGACATCTGTAGCAAGGCAGCAAGGGGGGGAACTTGAAATGGAGACTCAGAGGGAGTGCACTACTCAGCCTGGGCAAGTTCAGGTAGAGAGAACCACTCTGGATCTTATTGCCTCGGATCACTTTAGGATCGATTATGAGAGGTGTCGAGAGCCGATAGCTGCCAAGCGGCGTCACATGTCTGCAACAACTGTGGGTCAAGGACAGGGAGGGTTGCTTGCGACTCACCTTTCGAAAGGCTCAGCAAAACAGCAACGTCCACAGGGGCTTTCTGATCAGTGCAGAAAGGCCAAGGCTGAAAAACACAAAGCAGGCCGCGTGCCTGAGCTGTATCGATAAGCTCCTCGGCACGATTGAGGAGAGTGCCGACGGGCTTTCTCTTGCTCTAACAAACAGAAAGGATGGCGGGGGCGACGCTTTGCTATTGCAGCGGCAGAGCCTCGATGCGCCGTGGACCCAGAGCCTGAAGCTGTCGAATGAGCTGGTGGCCTTTTTGACAGCACAAAATGAGAGGACGGCTATGCGAAAGAAGCCACGGCTGACCGCGGCGGAACAGGGCACGCATAGAGCGATAACAAAGGGGCAGAAGGCGCGGGTTGGCGGTGTGCCGGGAGCCGAGGTGAGCAATCAATCTTTTCCTGACCTTATGTCAAGACAATTCAATCATGGCCTTTTGCAAGGCGCGTGACAACTGCCTCCATTGCAAATGCGAACTAAACCATCGACGACCAAAACGAGCTGGCATTAAGGACTTTGATCTGGTCCTCAAGTTGCTTTATAAGAATCCCGACTTTGAGCTGATGGGCCATAAGATACATGCCTTATTTCCCACCCGCGACTTTGACCGGTTTGGTGCACTTGTGTTTGAGTTGCCAGATGGAACAAAAGCTCGATTCATTGATCTGGTCGGCCCCTGCAGGAAAGCGACGATGGAGGAGAGTCGATGCGAGCAACGAGCATAAAGGCGCAGGCGCTACGCTACCTTGGGTTGATCGGCGAGGGGGTGTGCCTCGTAATACTGCCGGCTGGAGGAGGATCTCCGCCTCTGAGGCTCTACATGTCCGCCTGGGACCATAACGGCCTCGGCAGAGCAAAGCCGTTGGGTAGGCCATCAAAGGAGTGCGCGCTTTTGGAGCACGTCTGGTGGGATACCCTGGGCCGACTGAACTGCACGTGCCAGCGTGGGCGGCTCTCCGACAATGCACCCTGCGTTCACAAGCTCGCTCTTGCGGCGCTGAGCAATGATTGGATGCAGGAGGCCACTCTTCCGACGGCGCAGCGAGTCAAGCAAGGGGCTAGGAAAGAAAGGATTGGCTTCAAGGACGAGCTTGGGAGCTTCTTTGCGGTGGAGGACAGCCCGCAGGGGCCGAGCTCAAAACGGCGGATGCTGTTTCGTTCGACGGCGGGGTCATGGTATTGCGAGGGCAAAAACGACGGGTGCCCAGCAGTAAGCGATTGCTCGCATGTTGCCGCGGCAAAGGCGGCGGTTCGCGCGGGAGACGTTCCGGCGGCCTCGGGGCTGCTGGTCGGGTCCGAGGCTCTTGCAAGGGCAAAGCTGTGGCTCGAGCAATGGGGGGGGGAGGTGCCAATGATTAGGAATGTGCCCGCCGTGGGACACAGAGAGAAGCAAACTTGTCTATCGAGCGAGCAACGCAAACTCGTGGGGCTCCTCGCAAGACAGCCGCACGAGGGAGAGTTGTGCGCGGGCCCTTTGTGCTTTTGCCAGAGGCATGGGGCCCTGTTCGACGAGGCGCGACGGGACGAGGAGGCTCCGTCATTGGACGCCGCGTCGGAAAGCGCTCCGGAAGCAAAACGGCCGAGAAGGTCAAAAGCGTTTTGGAAGCACTCGCACGCCGCCCCCGTCGCCCCGACCATGAGGCCGGCCCCACCCGTTGATGCTCGGGGCAAGGACGCAATCCACGGCTGGGTCCTTGCTTGTTTTGAGTGCCCGCTCGCATCAAACGAATGTGCGCATGGGGAAGGGTCCCGCGTCCATTGCCCCGTCATGCTTATCGGCACAGAAGCCGTTCAAATCTCAAAGCCCAAGCTGGCTCGGCTCAGCGATGCACCCACCTTTCATGACCCTTTGGTCACGGCCCTCAGGGGCGCTCCGATCCGGGTCAGCGAGCTCACGCATGCGAGCTTTGTGGAGCTGTCGGAGCGAGGCTTGCTGAGCGCCCCTTGCCCACTTCAACCCCCCCCTTGCGGCACGAGTTGGGCCGAAACGTGGGTAGAAGCCTCCGTCACGGCCTCGCAGTGGAGCCGAAGGGTCAAGGTACGGATATACACGTGCCAGTGCCTCGACATAGCGCATACGGTCCACTTTGACGGCGAGCACCTCGGCCTGTACACGTGGAACGTGCGCACGCTGTTCGTACAGCAGAGCCTCCAACTCCTGCTTCAATCCATGCACCACGGGGTCTCCTTCAAAGCCGCCCTCGCCATGAATCAAGCCGCTTTCCAGTGCCGTCCCGGATCGGAGGTGCTGAGCGAAACAACGTGGCGACGGGCCTCGCTCGACTACTTCAAGCTCGTGGGCCTTGGGATTCGAGACTGCTGCACGCTCTGCGGCCTGCATCCAAAGGTGAGCTCGAAGCGTGTTCAATAGAAACGCGTACATTTGTAGATGTTGACAATACAACCCTTGACGCTTGATCAAGTTGGATTAGAGTCTTTCCATTCTCGAGTGAGCGACGGATAGAAGAGGCCCCCTTCATGAAGGCAAAACGATTGAGAGCAGATGTACACATTTTGATTGATAAAAACCTCCACCGAAAACGTGTACATCGTTGAAGTGATCCTGAATCACGTAGTACATGTACACGATTTATTGTGACAGTTCTATCACTTTCAGCTCACTTCGAAACCCTCTATCGCCGTTTTGCAGGTGCTGTTATGCGACGGGATTGTGGGCGTGGCAAATTCGGACGGTGGAAAGCGGCCGGGAGGGTTCGGGTCGGCGACCCTCGACGCTCGAAGAAGCATGACGCACCCGAGCCGCTCAAAGGAGGGGGAGCTGCTCCAGACGGCCTCCATTTCGGGCCGGGACTACTGCGGCGCGGGCCTGGAAGGTGGCGGCTTGAAGCGCCAGCTCGTCCTCCAGCCCGAGTTGCGCGAGGCGCTCGCGCGTCTTTCCCAGCACCGGCCGCGAGACGAGCGGCTCGGCCCGAGGCTTTCCGAAACCGGCTTCAAGAGCCTCCTGGACGGATTGACGCACGAGGAGACGCGCGTCGTGAAGGCGTTCGGGCCCGCCGAAGCAGAGGGGCCGCTTCCGGAGGACGGTAGGCGGCGGTTGCTCACCGAGCAGCGAACGATGGTTAGGGATCGGGGGATGGCCGTATGCGAGCTTTTGGCGGGAATCCAGGACGACTTTCGAAGGAGGGGGATGAACCCGAAGCTCTGGGAGAGCTGGGTCGGAGAATGGAGCGAGCTTTTGTACTGCCTCGGAGCGCACGATGCAGATGAGGATCTGATCGGAACGGAAGGGCTGAGCGCCGTCCGCAAGCTGTTGCTGGGAGGGGAGGCGTCCATAGAGGACACCCGGCGGCTGGGGAGGGCGGCCCCAATCCTGAGACGAATCCTCGACGCCCACGGCGGCCTCGCGTTCCCTGGATTCTTCATGCCCGTCCTAAAACAACTCTACCTGCTCTGCCTCTTTGCAAAGGGCGCAACGGGTTTTGCGGCCGACGGAAACCTTGGCTGGGTGTACGCGGCGATTCGGCCGTTCGACGCTGAGGCCGTTCGGCTGCTTGGGGAGGCGCGAAGACGGCCTTTAACGCCGGAAGAGGGAGAGGCGCTTGAGAACGAGCGCGCTGTGGCGAACGAGCTCCTTCCGGGCGTGGAGACTTTGCATCCGAGCCCCCAGCAATGGGGCTCGATGAGCGACCGGGAGAGGGCCCTCCTCTTGGAGCGTCTGGGACGCGACGAGGAGGGCTCATTGCTCCATCCGCTGCCGGTGGGGCACGCTTTCAGGGCCGAGCAAGACGCGCTCGCACACTACAGCTTCCCAGGATGGGAGCAGAAGCGGGGCTTGCCTCAGTACACGAGCTTCGAGCACTTTGACGGCCGCTCTCGGAGCTCGGAAGAGTTCAAATGTGCAACCGGAATGACGGTCGGCGACTGGGATCGTGAGAACGCGTCCGGATTGGTGAAAGGGGGCGGGAAGGCGGCAAAAAAGGGGGGCACTTTGAAGCGCCCCAATCGGAGTCGAGGCGCCTTCGTCTTCTGCTGCCCCCACCGAGTGATCTACGGCTTTCACGTCATGCTGCGAGGGGAGAGCCCAAGGGACGCGTTTGCCGTGCTGTACACGAGGATAGCGCGCGAGAACTTGCCCTCCGTCCTTGTGTACGACAACGCATGTGCCCTTCGCAACTACTGCATGCGCCGGGCTCCGGGCCACTTTGGAAATGTCCGCTTCGTCGTCGACAGGTGAGAATCGACTCCAGATATGTGTAGGTTCAAGAAACGTGTACATGCGCAAACAAACATAGGGTCCGCCTTGGATGTG